GCCGCTTTTAACAGTATTCCAGTTATATCACGGCGTGTCAGCTTAATGTGGGAGGAAAGCCCGAAGTGATGCAGGTCTCAGACGTTTACCACTTCTGTGAAACCCACGAGCACGGGTATGGTGCTGACAAACCTAGAAACATAATCGGGGCGAACCGGGATTCGAACCCACAATCATAGGTTTCTGGCGTGCCCAAGGGACGCAACTCTGCACAGCGAATCGCACAGACGACTGGGCCACCCGTGCCCCAACCTTGATGGAAATCAAACCCGGATGAAGTAAGGGAGCAAACACTGACCTCCCTAGTTATGATGACCAATTAACTGAAATAAAGGAGGCCAGTGAAACCATCTCATCTGTTTCCTATTTAGATCTATGCTAGATTCAGAGTGACAGAAACCTATCCACAAGGCTGCATGGCAAGAGGGATGACATCCAGTGGTCAACTTTCCCTTTATGTCGGACAATATTCCTGTAGATCCATCCTTTGTTGTCTTGATTTCACAATTTTTGAGGTACATTCGAGCATGCTCCTTCTATGAAGATTTCAGAGAGAGTCATACGACGCTTGCTCAAAATATGTTTGATCATTGTTACAACAGGTCTCAGTAAAGCTTTCAAAACGTTTTATGGTAGGCAGTTTTAGGACATTTCCAAATCTGACGCATCAGTGACCAAACGGATATCCGATGCGATTACCAATTTTTACTTGTACTATATGTTCCAGTGTTTTCTCAGGTGAGTGAGTGAGTATGGTTTTACGCCGCTTTTAGCAATATTCCAGCAATATCACGGCGGGGGACACCAGAAATGGGCTTCACACATTGTACCCATGTCGGGAATCGAACCCGGGTCTTCGGCGTGACGAGCGAACGCTTTAACCACTAGGCTACCCGACCGCCCCTTTCTCAGGTGAACAATTGACTTGCCCTTGAATGTCGCGAGTGTCATCGATGTAGCAGGATACGCTCACCTTTTCCCGAACACCTCGTATAGTGAATCATGAACACATGAGTTTAGAAATAGTGGGAATCGTACAGTTTACTCTGCTTTTATAAAATAGTTCTTTCTTTGAGTACTTTCTTATTCCCACCCCTGGCGGCTTACAGTCTTCACTTGATTCAGTTCGATTTTATGCCCCAAAATGGAGACTCATCCATTATGTCTCAAAGAGTAAATCACCCGTATTCTGTAAATAACGTCAGCCTCATAATAAAGTAAATATGGCGGAATAATCACCAACAGTAGTCATTTAGACTACTACATCAAGGATTAAACCGGAAATGGGTCATTCTAAACTACCGTTTGGCAAGCTCCTGCAATCATACGCCTGTCAGAGAATTAGCAAACATTTGAAGAGAGAGAGAGAGACTGGCACAGAGACAGTACCTCTCACGGAACACTTACAAATAGATGCTCTTTATTATAATGCATCTCTATCCACACTTATGACAACGCCTGCGACGTTATATAAGTATCGACCCAAGAGTGAGTGAGTGAGTTGGGTTTAACGCCGCTTTTAACAGTATTCTAGTTATATCACGGCGTGTCAGCTTAATGTGGGAGGAAAGCCCGGAGTGATGCAGGTCACAGTTTACCACTTCGGTGAAACCCAAGAGCACGGGTATGGTGCCGACAAACCTAGAAACATAATCGGGGCGAACCGGGATTCGAACCCACAATCATAGGTTTCTGGCGTGCCCAAGGGACGCAACTCTGCAGTGCGAATCGCGGCGCCTTAGACGACTGGGCCACCCGTGCCCCCTATCGACCCAAGAGCAGAAGTGCTGAAAGAATGTAACCATTGTTATTGACATTACTATGGCAATAATTGCCTCATTACTTTGTATTGTGAATCGTTTGTGTCTGACAGAAATAATTTCTTCTCATCTCTGATTGATAATCTTTATGTTGATGTATATGAAAAAATAGATATGCTTGAAGACGATGATATGCTTTCATTGTTTTTTGGTGCGTGTGTTCATGACTTAACTGACTGCAATTGATTATATATTCAATTGATATTGAATACATATTGAAAACTTTGAAACTTTGTATCAACTTGAATGACAAACCCTGGATACCACAAATGGTTCCATATCTACATAAAAGCAAATACATTTTTTGTAGTTTTATCATAAAAAATGGAATCGATCGTGTTTGGCGCCTGCATCAATCACAGTGGGCGGAGCTTATTTACGGTTGCGCTTTAAATAGCAAGGCACGTGGTCATGTGTACACATTCAATGCATTTGTGGTCAAAGTGTATAGTGCTGTATATTTTTATGTGGAAAGAAACATGTGAAGCATATCCACGTGACACGTACGCCCTGCTGCTCACAAATTGTACATTGTAAATTGGATACTATGAGCACTGTAATTTATGCCTTCGTTGTGAATAATTTATTGGAAATCAAGTATGTTCCTATGTGTGACCTTCGGATTGAACTTTTGAGGTAACATTCATTCATTCATTCATTTATTCATTCATTCATTCATTCATTCATTCATTCATTCATTCATTCACTCACTCATTCATTCATTCATTCATTCATTCATTCATATTCGGTTGGCTTGCACTATCTGTATGTGTCCGGGTCGATCATCGACGTTACGTGTATATTGGTATCGGGCCCATGGCAGATTAAGAAACATGCAGCATTTGGGAAACACAATTCTGACGGGTACGCACCTGCAACATTCCTGTGGCACGTAACGTTCAGCACGTTGCAGACGTCGCCTGATCAATGTTGTTGCTTCATTAATGATTAAATGTGTTTAATAAAGTGCCTTTGGGCGTTTGGTTCCAAGAAAACAATATGCGTCTGCTCACAACCGAGTCTGAGTGACAATTGAAAATCTGGCATGCCAAGTGCTGTCCGAGGTCACGTGCGTCATGACTGTCACAATGTCGTATTTGTGATCTTGACTTCATCGGAAATGTTCCTGTCCTATAAATCACTTGTTTTCATTGCCAGACGTGTGTGTTCTTCCCATTGTTTCACCTCAAAACAAAATATCCCCTACTTCTTTTGCATAGTGTATATATGAGGTGTTCGCCACCCAGCACTCAAACACTTTTTTTTATCGAAAATGAAATGGCGTAGATTGAGGAGGAGTAAACGGACCTTTTAAAGGTCATGGCCAGACTTGCAAACAAGGCTTCTGAAAACAATTGAGGTTCATCGAGTGAGGTCTACATACGGACTATCCTACTGATAACACTCATCTACCTGACTGTTTAACTGAGACATACCTGTAATCAGGAGAACCAGGTAGCGACAACGCCGGTTATCAACATGTTTAGACAGCGGACCCTTTTGTTTGTTTGTTTGTTGCTTAACGCCGCAACATTCCAGCAATATTCCAGGTGTATCACGGCGATTAGTAAATAATCACATCTAGACGAGATAATACAGTACCTGACAGCATGAACATCGATCTGCGTTCATTGCAGTGCAGTGGTACACAATACACCATGTCACTGAAACTGACCACTAGGTTCATTTAGTCGCCTTTATACGACCAGTACAGGTTGCTGGGGGCGTATGTTATCACCTGAAAATCCACACGGACTATATACCCTTCAGTAGGGTGTTAAACGGAATATATATCTTTGCGTGTGCATTGAAATTTATAATTCATAAAATGTCTACGCTTGTTGTTGCAGGTATATCTAAACAACAGCATATCTCTGTGTATTGCCCTGATATATATCGAACAACATAATGATTGCTGTAGTGCTGTTAAATGAAACCGTGCTGCATCTGCCTCCGTGTTGTACAATACCATCTTGTTTGGTTATTGATACCAAACAATATCATGCCTCAGAGAATAATGCCAAACTGCATTATGTCTCAGTGGATAATACCAAACAGTATCATACCTTAGCGGATAATACCAAATTGTAAGCTACCGTAGTGAAAGATGCCAAACTGTATTATACCTTACTGGATAATACCAAACAGTACCATGCCGTAGCAAATAATGCCAGTATATCATACCTTAGCGAAATAATGCCAAACTGCAGGATACCTTAGTGGATAATGCCAAACTGTTTTATACCTAAGGGGATAATGTCACCCTGTATTATACCTTAATCGATAATACTAAACTGTATCAGACTTTTCTATTTTGATAAATATTATACTGTAAAATATGGTACCACATCACACCTTGGACACTGTGCTGGCGATTAGGTGCCCCACTCTGGAAGTGTGGGTTCGAATCCCGGTCGGGACTCAACCCCCAAAAAAGTACGAGAATCTGTACTTTACTAAGAAAGTGTTATCCCAAATACAACATTTGTTACACTTGTTGGCAGTGTCCAGTCAAGTATGTCTATATCATACCTTGTTGACAGTATCAAGTTAAATATGTCAATATCCCGCCAGGAATGTTTATATCATACCTTCTTGACAGTATCCTACCGAATATGTATATATCATACATTGTTGACAGTATCCAGTCAGTTATGTCCATATCATACCTTGCTGACAGTATCAAGTTAAATATGTCAATATCATACCTTGTTGACAGTGTCCAGTCAAGTATGTCTCTATCATACTTCGTTGATAGTGCTCAGTCAAACATGTCAAGTATGTCTATATCACACGTTTTGACAGTGTCCAATAAAGAATGTCTATATCATACCTCGTCAATATTATCCAATCAAGTATGTCTATATCATACCTTCTTGACAGTATCCAGTCAAGAACTTGTTGACAATATCCAGTCAAGTATGTTTATATTATATCTTGTTGACAGTATCAGTCAGGTGTGTCTATATCACACATGTTGATAGTGTCAAGTCAAGTACGTCTATATGATACCCTATTTCACAGTATCCAGTCAAGTATGTCTATATCATACCTGGTTGACAGTATCCCGCCAGGAATGTTTATATCATACCTTCTTGACAGCATCCTGCGAAATATGTCTATATCACACCTTGTTGACAGTGTCCAGTCACGTATGTCCAAATCACACCTTGTTGACAGTGTCCAGTCAAGTATGTCCATACGGGTGGATTGACCGACCCCGGGGGGACAGCTGCTACAAGATCGTCATCAACAACATTCGGGATACATGGATAGGTTCCCGGAGTCAATGCCAAGCGCTGCAGTCCACTATGTATAAACTGGACTCTGTGCAAGAAAGGGTGAGTCTTCATTGATCACTGCGCACTGGCATCTCTATGCATGTTTAGCTCAGAAGGGCCAAAGGTCCAAGTGAGCTTATTGGCTGGCGCCTTGTTCGGCGGCTGTCAGTCAGTCCGTCGTCCACCCGTCGTTCTCCCATTATCCTGAACTGGCGGAAGGTTGAGAACCAAAACAGGTATTTTGTTCGTGGCGTTAAATCAAAAGTGTAGTTTTATAAAAACAAAAGGAAAAAATAGGATCATCTTCTCGGCAACCACAAGGTCAAGATAGTTCACATTCCACGAAGATGTGAAACAATACTGTGACTTTGATTTGTTCATTTACTTGCATCTTTTTTTAAACTTGCCAAAACATAACTGTGTAAGGTTGCTGTAAGCTACTCCATGTAGTGTTGTAGGCTACCCCGTGTCTCGTGTTTTCGGTGGCTGTGATGTAGACATTGCCGGACTGTTAGCGCAGACGATTGAGAGTGAGTATGGTTTTACGCCACTTTTAGCGATATTCCAGCCATATCACGGCGGGGGACCATAGAAATGGGCTTCACACATTGTACTCATGTCGGGAATCGAACCCGGGTCTTCGGCGTGACGAGCGAACGCTTTAACCACTAGGCTCCCCGACCACCCACAGACGATTGAAGTTTAGCTAGAAACAGAAATATATGTTAGCGTGTTTCCCTCAACACTCGAAGAGGTGTTTTCATGTCTTTGTGTTCTTTTGGTAAGGACTGGTTGATGAAAACATTGCGAAACGCCACCAGTGTGTTTCCGGATGTGACGGACTGGTGGAGCGGTGTGTACAACAGAGGGGACGGTAAAGGATGGCTGTGGGCTGCTGACGATACCCCGATAGACAATTCACTCATGTGAGTTATACGTCGTATGTCTAATTTTCTGTTTCATCGAATTACGTGATTGTCTTGGATGTTTACCGGCTGACCTCACATAAAAGGATTACTGCTGTGCTGCGTCAGGCATTAAATACTTACTTTTTATGCACATTGTATGAGTGGCGGGTGCTACGGGTAGGGCAGGACGTACCTACCCTTGTCTCGAACACCTGGTGTCATCACTGATTGTCAGTGGTCCATTCATATAATTTCCCCAGCTATTTGCTCTTTACGCCTTGTGGAATCTGTTTAGGCAGAAAATCTAGGCTGGTTATTCTCTTGCATTGACAGTCTATATTGTTTTCTTGGGTGACGCTCGAGAGTAGTTGGGGGTGAATTAACTGTGTCTCATATGCGGTCCCATAGGTATAAACATAACGGATCTTTCAAATAAACGTATTGTACATTTGTTTAAGGATTTGCGCCTATATGTACCCAACGGAGACCAAGATGAACCAGGTCTTCCGCACGTTATTGCCTGTTGTCGAACCCGATAACGTGGGGTTGCTCATCTTATCAATCACTGGTTTGTCATGCCCAGGCTCTATTGTTTACAGTTCGCATGATGTAGGTGAATATGTCTGACTTCTGACGCCATTAAGTCACGTCATTCCACGCATGCAATTTTTGTACTGATTCCAAGTCAGTGTTTGTAATAACGTAGTAGTCTTTGGCTCGATGGCTGTTTGTAGACAGTGGCTGGGAGGGACGGCTCCACCAAACGACGGTAACAAACACTGCGCCATCGTCAACAGCCAGGGCTACAACTCATCCAACTGTGTGTCTTGGCTTCGAGTCATTTGCGAGAGACCAAAGAGTACGTACAGAATTATTTTTATTACGATATGGCTGACGTCTCTGTGTGGAGACTCAAGAGTAAGTATGGAATCTTAGTATTACGATGTGGCTGACGTCTCTATGTGGAGACTCAAGAATAAGTATAGAGTCTTATAATTACGACGTGACTGACGTCTCTATGTGGAGACTCAAGAATAAGTATAGAGTCTTATAATTACGACGTGACTGACGTCTCTATGTGGAGACTCAAGAATAAGTATAGAGTCTTATAATTACGACGTGACTGACGTCTCTATGTGGAGACTCAAGAATAAGTATAGAGTCTTATAATTACGACGTGACTGACGTCTCTATGTGGAGACTCAAGAATAAGTATAGAGTCTTATAATTACGACGTGTCTGACGTCTCTATGTGGAGACTCAAGAATAAGTATAGAGTCTTATAATTACGACGTGACTGACGTCTCTATGTGAAGACTCAAGAATAAGTATAGAGTCTTATAATTACGACGTGACTGACGTCTCTATGTGGAGACTCAAGAATAAGTATAGAGTCTTATAATTACGACGTGACTGACGTCTCTATGTGGAGACTCAAGAATAAGTATAGAGTCTTATAATTACGACGTGACTGACGTCTCTATGTGGAGACTCAAGAATAAGTATAGAGTCTTATAATTACGACGTGACTGACGTCTCTATGTGGAGACTCAAGAATAAGTATAGAGTCTTATAATTACGACGTGTCTGACGTCTCTATGTGGAGACTCAAGAATAAGTATAGAGTCTTATAATTACGACGTGACTGACGTCTCTATGTGAAGACTCAAGAATAAGTATAGAGTCTTATAATTACGACGTGACTGACGTCTCTATGTGGAGACTCAAGAATAAATATAGAGTCTTATAATTACGACGTGACTGACGTCTCTATGTGGAGACTCAAGAATAAGTATAGAGTCTTATAATTACGACGTGACTGACGTCTCTATGTGGAGACTCAAGAATAAGTATAGAGTCTTATAATTACGACGTGACTGACGTCTCTATGTGGAGACTCAAGAATAAGTATAGAGTCTTATAATTGCGACGTGACTGACGTCTCTATGTGGAGACTCAAGAATAAGTATAGAGTCTTATAATTACGACGTGACTGACGTCTCTATGTGGAGACTCAAGAATAAGTATAGAGTCTTATAATTACGACGTGACTGACGTCTCTATGTGGAGACTCAAGAATAAATATAGAGTCTTATAATTACGACGTGACTGACGTCTCTATGTGGAGACTCAAGAATAAGTATAGAGTCTTATAATTACGACGTGACTGACGTCTCTATGTGGAGACTCAAGAATAAGTATAGAGTCTTATAATTACGACGTGTCTGACGTCTCTATGTGGAGACTCAAGAATAAGTATAGAGTCTTATAATTACGACGTGACTGACGTCTCTATGTGAAGACTCAAGAATAAGTATAGAGTCTTATAATTACGACGTGACTGACGTCTCTATGTGGAGACTCAAGAATAAATATAGAGTCTTATAATTACGACGTGACTGACGTCTCTATGTGGAGACTCAAGAATAAGTATAGAGTCTTATAATTACGACGTGACTGACGTCTCTATGTGGAGACTCAAGAATAAGTATAGAGTCTTATAATTACGACGTGACTGACGTCTCTATGTGGAGACTCAAGAATAAGTATAGAGTCTTATAATTACGACGTGACTGACGTCTCTATGTGGAGACTCAAGAATAAGTATAGAGTCTTATAATTACGACGTGACTGACGTCTCTATGTGGAGACTCAAGAATAAGTATAGAGTCTTATAATTACGACGTGACTGACGTCTCTATGTGGAGACTCAAGAATAAATATAGAGTCTTATAATTACGACGTGACTGACGTCTCTATGTGGAGACTCAAGAATAAGTATAGAGTCTTATAATTACGACGTGACTGACGTCTCTATGTGGAGACTCAAGGGTAAGTATAGAGTCTTACTATTACGACGTAACTGACGACTCTATGTGGATTCTCAAGAGGAAGAAAAATGCGTTAGTATTACAAAGGGTCACGTCTCTTTGTTGAACCTCAAGGGTAAGTATAGTGTATTGGTATTACTATGTGGCTCACGTCTCTATGTGGAGACTTAAGAGTAAGTATAGTGCCGTCAGAAAGTGGTTAATTGTAACAAATGATATATTTTGGATAACCCTTTCTCAGTAAAGTACAAATTCTAGAACTTTCCCTTCACCATTCAATACAGGATACTTGGTTTATAGAAGCAAAACAACGCCTACATTTATATGATGTTGATGGTATGAAAGGCCCTATGACCCTCTGTCGTGGGGCTGCTACCTTCTCTATAGAGGTGGTTGTGCCCACTCTGACATCAACATGGTGTTTCAGGCCAACCCCTTGTGTGTGACGTAGATCACGACTGGGTGTACAACAACGGCAGCTGCTATAAGCTCATCACGGAGAAGAGGACCTGGTCTGATGCTAGGTAAGGAGATGATGGAGCTGGAATGAGTGAGTGAGTGAGTAGGGTTTAACGTCGCTTTGAACAGTATTCTAGTTATTTCACGGCGTGTCAGCTTATTGTAAGCGGAAAGCCCGAAGTGATGCTCGTCTTAGACGTTTACCACTTTGGTGAAACCGACGAGCATGGCCACGGTGATGAGAAACCTAGAAACATAATCTGGGCGAACCGGGATTCGAACCAACGATCATAAGTTTCTAGCAAGACCAAGGGACGCAACTCTGCACTGCGAATTGCGACGCCTTGCACCACTGGGCCACGTATCCGTGTCCCCCATGAACATAATAAGAGAGAGGAAGTTTATAATTTAGTTGTTTGGTTGCAATTTGATGTTGGAGGAATTAGAGTTAATCTGGGATTCGAACCCCAAACTAGCGGACCTATGCACATCTAGGCCTTGGGTCCGTTGAACCACCTGTGCCCTGGACACATTTACAATAGTCTATATTCTATACATTTGCCTGTTGTTTTACAAAAATATAAAAAACTACAGGCAAATAGATTTCACATTTACATTAAGAACAGATGCCTTTTTGCCTGTAGTTTTCATAGTTTGTTTTGACCCGTGAAGATCCGGGGTAGAATAGATCTTCAGCGACCCTTGTCGTAAGAGGCGATTATCGGGATCGGGTGGTCAGGTTCGCTAACTTGGATTATGCATGTGAACCTATTGCGTGGATCGATGCTCATGATGAGCCATGGATTGTCTGATCAAAGTGAGGTAACCCCTTTTGTTGTTGTCGATGATATCGTAAAGTATATTTGAAGTGTGTCTCTTTGCCACTGAGTGTGATGTACAATATTTGTGTGTGGTTGTTTTGATAATATTTTGAATATGTACTTTATGCTTAAGACCTGTGGGACTGAATAAATCTTGAACTTGAACACGAAATAAAATAGGACATTGGTTCAAACAAAGACAAAGTCGCTTTGTGTTCTGTTTCCAGTACCCACTGCCAGACGTACAGCGCCCGGCTAAGCAAGATTGATGGGGATACCTCCCAGGGCTTCTTGTCCAACATGGCAAAGTCGAAAGGGAGTGATTTGTGGATAGGCCTGAAAACAACCCAGAAACAGGTGTGTGCAACCTCTTAGTATCTTAGTATCTCAAACAGGGGGCGATGAGTAGTCTGGTTGCTAAAGCATTCGCTCGTCACGCCAAAGACCCGGGTTCGAGTTCCCACATGGGTACAATGTGTGAAGCTCATTTCTGGTGCCCCAAGCCGTATATTGCTGGAATATTGCTATAAGCGGCTTTAAACCACACTCACTCACAATATATTTGAGTTGGATAGAAGGATAGTGTAGGATAGTTACATGGTTATCACACTAAAGCCATCCAAGGAATCGAATACGTGGTTATATATGCTTCGACAATTAATGTTCAATAGTTCACCTGTTGAAATATCCCCCTTGTATATGATCAAGTTCGCTTTGCTTTTTTCTATCTTCAGGCCGGGGTCACGTGGACGTGGGATGGTGGGGCGCCCCTCGTTTCCTCCATCACCTACTGGGCTACAGATGCCCCTGGCACTATAGCAAAGTGAGCGCGGCATGTTTTGTTTTGTAAATTATAGAACTGGAGAAATATGTCGCGAAGATATTTCAGTCTATCTATCACAAAAGAAGGCCGTGTTGTCCAGGCGGTTCCCTGTGTCCTCAGAGCTTGGGTATGCATGCAGATGTCAACTGCAGTCCGTTTAGATCGAAATGAGAACAATATCTGCTGTTTGTTATATTTATTCCTATCACTGGTAAAAGATGTTCAAGAAACTATCATGTTGTTATGTGTTGTTAAGTTCACATCTTATACGGAGGGAGGCACAACGGTAGGAATAAAAATAACAAACAGCAGATATTGTTGGGTGCTGTGTATGCATTTCCGTGTACCATATTGACATTTAATAGACTATTCCCGATTTTAAGTTATTTTGCAATTCATCCTTCTCATTTGGAACCAAACGGACTGTATGTGTTGTTGCAAAGCTTCAGGTAGATCGCCGTAGTTCCTGACACCGGGGATCGAACAGAGGTTGCTGTTGCAGGTTGTTGATCTTATCAAATGCACGGTTCTCCGCCAGTCAAATAGCGGTGAATAATGCATTCCTCTGTAACATATATTCAGCTTAAAATATACTTAAACAATTGCCCACACAAAATAATATTATCAATATCATATTGATTTATTCATTTAATCACTCAGCACACACACACACACACACACACACACACACACACACACACACACACACACACACACACACACACACACACACACACACACACACACACACACGCACACCCGTCTAATCTCACGCATGCACGCATACAGGCACGCACACAGACATTCGCACAAGCACGCACAGGTGCACGCATGCACACGAGTGCACACACATGCACACACACACACCCTTTCAAAACGAACAATGGTAGTGGTATTTTACAGTGAGTAAGTATACTTTTACGCCACCTTTAGCAATATTCAAGCAATATCACGGCAGGGAACACCAGAAATGGGCTTCACACATTGTACCCATGTCGGGAATCGAACCCGGGTCTTCGGCGTGACGAGAGAACGCTTGAACCACAAGACTACCCGACCGCCCCTATTTTACAGGAATGAAAGAAACTCTACCTGTGCCATTGTGGACAAAGGGATGCGGAGGAAGCTATCTTGGGTGGCAATCAACTGTGACCAGTTAAACAACTATGTTTGTCAGAAGCCACAAGGTAAATCATAAAATACCACTGCACAGCTGGGTGTGCCAACTATACTCATTAAAATGGTAGTTTTGAGATGTGAAACTTGCAGGACGCCACATATAATGGTGTATGTGACTGTACGTACATGTATTACAGGTGTGTGTCAGGGCGGGTGGCTACTGACTTTATTATTCCTCAAAGTGAGATTGACCAATCAGAGAGCAGAACTACTGACCCCACATAAGCCACATAAGATGGTTGTTACTGACCTAATATGAGACGTATACCGTCAGTAACAGCCATCTTGGATTTTCCAACTCCCACTTCAAATCTTTCGCATAGAAATTCTGGTATAGAAATTCGTTATTCGACACTGTTTTGTGTTTTTATGTCTTTAATTGTGATGTGCAAGGACATTAATCTTTTAGATCATGTTCGTGACTTTATTGATATAGATTATAGTTAAAATTGTCAACAATGTTTGGCTTCTAAGGTGTGAAGAGTAGTCTCCCTTTGACCCTTAAAGTCAATGGTTGTACATGTCAAGTTTTTATTTTGACATGAGGTGAGGTGAGGTAAAATGGGGTTTAAAGTCGCGTCCAAGATTATTGCACTTATATAGCGACGTGCATGCACATGTATGTGTGTGTCTGCTTGTACTAGTCCGGACTGATGCCGATTTATAGTGCTAGGACACTGATATACCATGCCGCAGTTTAACACGAATACCCCACTCAGACACAGTATACTGACTCCGAGCCGACCAGTCCTTGTTTTAGTCCCTTAATGCCGAGCGCCAGACAGGGTAACAACAAGTACCATCTTTTAACGTCTTTTGGTATGACGCGGCTCTCCGGGCGGACGCTCTACCATTAGACCACGGAGGCGGTCTATTTTGCCATGACATGTGCGATATGGATACCAGTTAGTAAAAACTTTTAGTCATAATAAATTCGTTATGTTATCTTAAGTTGTCGTATACGGTGTCATGTTAGGTTACCAGAAAAAAAAAACATATGTTTCTGCTAACCTAATATAACACCGTTTACGGCAACGGAAGACTCCATAACTAATTGTATGTATTACAGGTGTGTGTCAGGGTAGGTGGCTACTATACAATATGTGACTATATTTATAACAGGTGTGTGTCAGGATGGGTGGCTACTATACAATATGTGACTATATGTATTACAGGTGTGTGTCAGGGCAAGTGGCTACAATACCATATGTATTACAGGTGTGTGTCAGGGTGGGTGGCTACTGTACAATATGTGACTTTATGTATTACAGGTGTGTGTCGGGGTGGGTGGCTACTATACAATATGTGACTTCATGTAATACAGGTGTGTGTCAGGGCGGGTGGCTACAATACAATATGTGGCTATATATATTACAGGTGTGTGTCAGGGCGGGTGGCTACTATACAATACATGTATGTGACTATATGTAATACAGGCGTGTGTCAGGGCGGGTGGCAACTATTGAATATGTGACTATATGTATCACAGGTGTGTGTCAGGGCGGGTGGCTACTATACAATATGTGACTCTATGTATTACAGGTGTGTGTCAAGGCAGGTGGCTACTGTAGTATATGTCACTATATTTATTACAGGTGTATGTCAGGACGGGTGGCTACAACATCAAGATTCCTGCTTCGCCTTCAACCCTCTATTCAGTCTGCCCTGGGCGAGGGCGAAGAAGTTTTGTAGTGATCAGGGGGCGTCTCTCCTCAGCCTCAAAAGGTTAGTAACTCAAGGAAAACCAGAACTCTTCTAACCTCTCGAAGAGGCACATCAAGCATGGGTGTTACGTATTCGTCCTTACAAGCAAACTCTTTACCCACAAGGCCAACCAATCCGATGTTCCATTCTGGCATGTGTGGCTATTCAACCCATTGTAAATTGTAAGCAGAACTGCTCTTCCACACACTGTAAACAGTAAGCAGAACTTTTAACTGAAACCATTATGTCAATTGTACGCGAAGCACTCAAGTCGTAAAGTCAATATCTTCTCACCCACAAGAATATTAAATGGTCGTTCCGTAAGCTGACACGTTTGACAAACTGAAATAATATTAGAAGGCAGTACGTGATATTGGTTCTTTGGTTGTTCTTTCACTATTGGAGCATGATGGTGTGGCGCACTGTTTGCTATGCTCTATGTTTCAGCGCATCTGACCAGGCTTTTATACAGTTGTATCTCAAAGAACAGGCTGGGGCTGGAATATCAAGTATCTGGATCGGCGCAAGTGGTATGCCGAACAATTGATATTACCATGTCTTTAAGCTTGCATCGGGGTAAACAGAAAGTTGGAATAATAGTTACATCGCATGATGTATGCGGCATATAAGGAATTATGTACCATACTTTTATTTTAAAATGTTGATATATTTGCAAAGTCAATTGGCAGGTCATTGATTAAATGTCAAAACGTATGTTCTTAACGTCTCGTTTTTGTAAGAATGAGAAAAAGGTTTTATGCTGAAATTTAATATTCTTTGCCTACGTAATTTTCAGTTGTGTACTGATGATACGGTATTTGTATGACAGTTAGCATGGTGGCGTTCTCTTGTTGTGTGGGATGACAAGGGGATCTCGTTGTGTGTGATGACAAGGCAATCTTGTGTGGGATGACAGGGTGATTTTGTTGTGTGATGACAGGGTGATCTTGGGTGTGATGACAGGGTGATCTTGTGTATGATGACAGGGTAATCTTGTGTATGATGACAGGGTAATCTTGTGTATGATGACAGGGTGATCTTGTTGTGTGTGATGACAGGGTGATCTTGTGTGGGGTGACAGGGTGATCTTGATGTATGGAATGACAAAGTGATCTTGTTGTGTGATGACAGGGTGATCATGTTTTATGATGACAGGGTGATCTTGTGTATGATGATAGGGCGATCTTGTGTGTGATGACAAGGCAATCTTGTGTGGGATGACAGGGTGATTTCGTTGTGTGATGACAGGGTGATCTTGTGTGTGATGACAGGGTGATCTTGTGTATGATGACAGGGTAATCTTGTGTATGATGACAGGGTAATCTTGTGTATGATGACAGAGTGATCTTGTGTATGATGACAGGGGGATCTTGTTGTGTATGATGACAGGGTGATCTTGTTGTGTGTGATGACAGGGGGATCTTGTTGTGTATGATGACAGGGGGATCTTGTTGTGTGGGAATACAGGGTGATCTTGTTGTGTGTGATGACAAGGTTATCGTGTTGTGTGGGATGACACGGTGATCTTGTTGTGTGTGATGACAGGGTGATCTTGTTGTGTGGGATGACAGGATGATCTTGTTATGTGGGATGACACGGTGATCTTGTTGTGTGGGATGACAGGGTGATCTTGTTGTGTGAGATGACATGGTGATCTTGTTGTGTGGGACGACAGGGTGATCTAGTTCTGTGGGATGACAGGGTGATCTTGTTGTGTGAGATGACAGGATGATCTTGTTGTGTGGGATGACAAGGTTATCGTGTTGTGTAGGATGACACGGTGATCTTGTTGTGTATGATGACAGGGTGATCTTGTTGTGTGGGATGACAGGATGATCTTGTTGTGTGGGATGACAGGGTAATCTTGTTGTGTGTGATGACATGGTGATCGTGTTGTGTATGATGACAGGGTGATCTTGTTGTGTGAGATGACAGGACGACCTTGTTGTGTGTGATGACATGGTGATCTTGTTGTGTATGATTACAGGCTGATCTTGTTGTGTGAGATGACAAGGTGATCTTGTTGAGTGGGATGACAGGGTGATCTTAATGTGTGGGATGACAGGGTGATCTTGTTGTTTGGGATGACAGGGTGATCTTGTTGTGTGGGATGACACGGTGATCTTGTTGTGTGGGATGACAGGGTAATCTTGCTGTGTGGGATGACAGGGTGATCTTGTTGTGTGTGATGACACGGTGATCTTGTTGTGTGTGATGACACGGTGATCTTGTTGAGTGGGATGACAGGGTGATCTTGTATATGATGACAGGGTGATCTTGTTGTGTGGGATGACAGGGTGATCTTGTTGTGTATGATGACAGGGTGATCTTGTTGAGTGGGGCGACAGGGTGATCTTGTTGAGTGGCATGACAGGGTAATCTTGTTGTGTGGGATGACAGCTGAGGGTAATCTTGTTGTGTGAGATGACACGGTGACCTTGTGTGATGTGACAGGGTGATCTTGTTGTGTGAGATGACATGGTGATCTTGTTGTGTATGATGACAGGGTGATCTTGTTGTGTATGATGACAGGGTGATCTTGTTGTGTGGGATGACAGGATGATCTTGTAGTGTGAGATGACACGGTGACCTTGTGTGATGTGACAGGGTGATCTTGTTGTGTGAGATGACAGGGTGACCTTGTGTGATGTGACATGGTGATCTTGTTGTGTATGATGACAGGGTGATCTTGTTGTGTGAGATGACAGGGTGATCTTGTTGAGTGGGATGACAGGGTGATCTTGTTGTGTATGATGACAGGGTGATCTTGTTGTGTGAGATGACAGGATGATCTTGTTGAGTGTGATGACAGGGTGATCTTGTTGTGTATGATGACAGGGTGATCTTGTTGTATATGATGACAGGGTGATTTTGTTGTGTGAGATGACAGGATGATCTTGTTGTGTTAGATGACAGGGTGATCTTGTTGTGTGAGATAACAGGGTAATCTTGTTGAGTGTGACGACAGGGTGATCTTGTTGTGTATGATGACAGGGTGATCTTGTTGTGTATGATGACAGGATGATCCTGTTGTGTATGATGACAGGGTGATCTTCTTGTGTGGGAATACAGGGTGATCTTGTTGTGTATGATGACATGGTGATCTTGTTGTGTGTGACGTGATCTTGTTGTGTATGATGACACGGTGATCTTGTTGAGTGGTATGACAGGGTGATCTTGAATATGATGACAGGGTGATCTTGTTGTGTGGGATGACAGGGTGATCTTGTTGAGTGGTATGACAGGGTGATCTTGTTGAGTTGTATGACAGGGTGATCTTGTTGTGTATGATGATAGGGTGATCTTGTTATGTGGGACGATAGGGTGATCGTATTGAGCAGATTGTCAAAGGTTTTTTTTGTAATGTTGCTCTCTGCAGCATCAAGTCCCTGCCTTATCAGGTGGTTGCAAAACGCATAAACAGATACAACATGCATGATAAAATGTCGCATAGAGGTTTGTTATAACAGTGTCATATCGTGGTTTGTTGAACAACTCCAATCTCTTACAGATAACAATAAACCTGGGTCATTCCAGTGGGTGGACGCGACGAGTATTGCGGGGTACAAGAACTGGGCCCCCAGCAACCCGGTCAACAAGGCCGGCACACAGGACTGCGCTTACATCGACACCAGTACGGCACACCGTGTTGTTTTTTAAACCGCTTCCTTCATGGAATGAAGTGTTTAAAGCTTGAAAATGGAAAACTGGCACAAGTAGCAAAGAGTGAGTGAGTGAGTTGGGTTTAACGCCGCTTTTAACAGTATTCCAGTTATATCATGGCGTGTCAGGTTAATGTGTGAGGAAAGTTCGAAGTGATGCAGATCTCAAACGTAAACCACTTCTGTGAAAACCACGAACACGGGTATGGTGTTGACAAACCTCGAACCATAATCGGGGTGAACCGGGATTCGAACCAACAGTCATAGGTCTCTGGCGTGCCCAAGGGACGCAACTCTGCACAGCGAATCGCGGCGCCTTAGAGGACTGGGCCACCCCTGCCACCAGTAGCAAAGAAGATTAAATAACATATGTGCTAGAGGAAGAACAGGAACTAGATGGAACTTAGTTTCGTAAAATCCAGATCAGTTGATTTGTGTAGCCGCTGCAATGGGGAGTATGTGTGTATATGCATATTAAGAAACGTGTGGATCGTTGCATATATCTTCAATAACAGTCGTGTTGAGTATGATTATATGTAATACCCTTATTTAGCTGTAAAATATGAGCGCTACCGCCTTATTTGGCATAGAAATACGAGCTGTAACGGCTTATATTGTGTAATCTATTTGTGGTAACAACCTTATTTAGTTTTACAGTATTTGCGGTGACCACCTTAATTAGCATAAACATGTATGCGGTAAACGACTTATTTAGCGCAAATATATGTTCGGTAAGAGTCTTATTTAGCATAGATAGATATATAAGTGTATAGCTCCTTATTTAGCTTTACCATATTTGTGCTTATCGCTTTATTGGCATACATTTTATGTGAGGTAACAATTAAGATCCGGGTAAGAATAGGTCTTCAGCCACCCAAGCTTGCCGTAAAATGCGACTACGCTTGTCATAAGAGGCGACTAACGGGATCGGGTGGTCAGGCTAGGTGACTTGGTTGGCGCATGTCATCGTGTCCCAATTGCGTTGATCGATGCTCATGGTGTCAATCACTGGATTGTCAGGCCCAGGCTTGATTATCTAGAGACCGCCATCATATAGCCGGAATATTGCTGAGTGTGGCGTTAAAGAACAAACAAACAAAATTAAGCATACATACATGTCCGGCAAGAGCGGTATTTAAAACACATACATGTGGAGTATTCATCTTCGTGGAAACCTCCTTATGTGCATAAAATACATTTTGTTTATTTATATGTGTAACATACCTCCTTTGATCGTAGTGCTGTGAGCAACTCGTGAGTCATCGGCATAGTTGCGGAAACAGCAAACGGAAGCTGCAGTATGTGTGAGTGAGTGAGTTTGGTTTAACGCCACTTTTAACAGTATTCCAGTTATATCACGGCGTGTCAGTTTAATGTGGGAGGAAAGTCCGAAGTGATGCAGGTCTCAGACGTTCACCACTTCGGTGAAACCCACGAGCACGGGTATGGTGCTGACAAACCTAGAAACATAATCGGGGCGAACCGGGATTCGAACCCACAATCATAGGTTTCTGGCATGCCCAAGGGACGCAACTCTGCACAGCGAATCGCGGCGCCTTTGACGACTGGGCCCCCCGTGCCCCCCTGCAGTATGTGTGACATCATTCATGTGTTGCAGGTGTAGTTGCTACTCTTCTCTGCTCATCTGTTTGAGTTTGTATTCTTTCTGATTCAAGCTGACATCAGTGGCTTGTGGCAAACCTCGAGTGACTGCACACAGCTCAAGTCGTTTGTGTGTATGATTCCCGTCAACAAGCAAGTCTTCCAAATCACCACTCCCAAACGTAAGTAGCTGGAGTGAGTGAGTGAGTATGGTTTTACGCCGTTTTTAGCAATATTCCAGCAATATCACGGCGGGGGACACCAGAAATGGGCTTCACACATTGTACGCATGTCGGGAATCGAACCCGGGTCTTCGGCGTGACGAGCGAACGCTTTAACCACTAGGCTACCCGACCGCCCCAAGTAGCTGGAAGTAACTCTCAAATGTTCGTTTTTCATTTTCATATTTATTTTCGTTCTAATGTACAAATATAGACATTTCACCGAGTTTCGGCATAGTGAAGAAAGGCTGTTATAGTCAAGTTGCTCGAGACTCGATAAAACAGACGTTAGTCTGAATAGTATTAAAGGGAAAAAAGTCCGTGTGGGAAAGTGTTAAACTTTTATTCATGTTATGAACTTTTGGACTGTAAAATACTTTAAAATTATCAATAATTGTGTTCATATTTTCGTGAACGGGAAACGGCCGTCGGGGCTGCGTGCACTGGTTTTTAGCCTAAGTGTTTGTCCCATTTTAAGAACCAGTGTCGCCCGGTGCATTGTTGTAATTTGCATGTTGGATAACTTTCTCGTTACAACAGGCTCTCAGCTGTTGATGAAACGCAGAAGGCACTGTGTATCTGTTTGAAGCATTCCGATGCTATTGGACATGTTAAAAGTTATGAAAATGTAGAAAACAAAATTTTATCACACAATGTGAATATAATTAGTAACACTCCAAAGTAGGATATCAAAATATGTTTCCACTGTTCGAATTGCCAAAGTTAAGAATAATCAGCTAAATATCATGCGATAAGTTTGAGTTTGAATTTAGAACAGTTGATGAGAAAATAGCATCCCCTGGTTTTTATAAGGGCTTTATCTAAGGGCAAACTGCGCGAGGAATAACCCGACCATAGGCATGGCGTCATTGTAGATTCATAATAACACGTCAGTTATTTTGTCAATTTTGTAACATGCCACTGACTCCTCTTGTAATGAGTACATGATTGCACAGAGTTAAAATAATTTACGCATCCGTGATAGTTGACAGAGCGTCTGCCCAAAGAAGGGAAGGCCTGTAGTTCCATCCCCGGCCGCGTCATACCAAAATACGTCTACAGATGGTACTTGTTGTTATCCTGTCTGGCGCTCTACTTTATTGGGATAAAACGAGGTCTGGTCGGCTCGGAGGTAGTATACTCTGTCTGAGTGGGGTATCCATGTTAAACTGCGATAAGGTATCTCAGCAGAATAGCACTATATAAAAGCGGCATATAAAAGCGGCATATAATGCGGCATTAGTCCTGACTAGTACACGCGGACACACATACACACACACGCGCGCGCACGTGTATGCAGATCGCTCTTCTAGTGCATTAATTGCAACCTGATTTCACATCCCCGTACCTTATTTTAATTTCTTAATCTATCCTTGTCTTTCCATCAGCTACGTTTTTTTGTGATGACGGTTGGCATGACTACGGCGGCAACTGCTTCTTCTTCAACAACACCGACTCGACGTGGATAGTGGCGAGCGACACGTGTCAAGTCAACATGGCGAACCTTGTGGTGATCCCTGACGAAGGAACTCAGGCCTTTGTCCATAGTGAGTTTGTTTTTACGGTCTTTTAAACGGTATTACTGTTAAATCACGGCGTGTCACGGTGACACTGAAGGTATAGTCCTTCAGGGCAAAGTTATACTATATGACACACACTACAATCCAGGGCCCCGTTCCACAAAGCGTTCGGACAGCTTTGACCGTTGTGTATAGGAGTCGCGATCACCAAAGCGCTACGATCACTTTGTGGAACGGACTCCAGCTTCCAAGCTTGCGCTAAGGTGATCGTAACTCCTATACTTTAACAAAGACTTTAACAACTGTCGTAGCGCTAAGATGACTTTGTTGAACGGGGCCCTGATGTTGGACAAACAGTATTTCTCAAGTAGATGTATATCTATTGGGGAAATGTTGCCATATATGGAGAGAGGGGAAACTATTAAAACTATTAGACAAAAAGGGTACACATTCACATGGATATGAGTCAGTGTGGTTTTACGCCGCTATTAGCCATATTCCAGCAATATCACGGCGGGGGACACCAAAAACGGGCTTCGCACATTGTACCCATGTGGGGAATCGAACCAGGGTCTTCGGCGTGACGAGCCGACGCCTTAAGGGAGGAGGGTGTCCACACGGTAGCTGCAAGATCATGTTGCATATGTATGGGGAAATATTCGCATGTACATTAAGGGGAAATATTCATATATATATAGGAGAAATAATTTTCACACAGTATCTGTAAGATCTAGATCACTTTGCGGTACGTATCCCTGTCGTTTCCCAGGTCACGCAACGGATGCGGACTACTGGATTGGTCTTCAGGACAGACGCAAGGAAGGTGGCTGGACGTGGATTGACGATAAAACACCAGTAAGTACCAACAGCTATCGGATCACACAACCTGTTCTGAGACTCATTCAGAAAACATTATCCGGATGGGATGATAAGGTAGGCATGGAGGGGTTGGGTGATGGGCGTGGATGGATAGAAAGTAGGGCGTTGATAGATGCCAAGATGGGCGTGGATTGATTGAAAGTAGGGCGTTGATAGATGCCAAGATGGGCGTGGATGGATAGAAAGTAGGGCGTTGATAGATGCCAAGATGGACGTGGATTGATTGAAAGTAGGGCGTTGATAGATGCCAAGATGGGCGTGGATGGATAGAAAGTAGGGCGTTGATAGATGCCAAGATGGACGTGGATTGATTGAAAGTAGGGCGTTGATAGATGCCAAGATGGGCGTGGATGGATAGAAAGTAGGGCGTTGATAGATGCCAAGATGGGCGTGGATTGATTGAAAGTAGGGCGTTGATAGATGCCAAGATGGGCGTGGATGGATAGAAAGTAGGGCGTTGATAGATGCCAAGATGGGCGTGGATGGATAGAAAGTAGGGCGTTGATAGATGCCAAGATGGGCGTGGATGGATGGGATGATGGGCGTGGATGGGTGGAAAGGTGGGGTGATTTTGTCGAGCGATTTGTAACCATAGATGAATCTTGGATTCACCGCTATCATCCAGGGACTAAACAGTATTCGAAACAGTGGAAACATCTCTTTGGGCAATGTCTGTTACATCAGCTGGCAAGCATGGCTTCAGTGCTCAATTCTGTTGTCACCATGGCTGCAATATATGATTGTTGCTTTGAACTCACTGAACATGTCTGGCACGAATTATGCAAATGATGATTAGGTGATTTCTGCTGAGAGGAAAGCTTCTATACCAGTGAGATCAAGACATTCCAGCATCGTGGATAAACGTGTGTGGACCTCCGAGGGGATTATGCGGACAGATAATTAGCAACCAATTCATCAACGTTTTAACCAGCCCCGTACTCAGGCCTCACATGCCTCCATAATGTTGCCTATTATTTATCTATTTAGTCAAATATAAAATATAAAAGTCAGGTGAGCTACATACGTACGATCACCAAGGTATTAGCAGAGCTGGGGCCCGTTCCACAGAGCGATCGTAGTGTTACGGCCGTCGTAAGCATATGTGAAAGTTGGGGAATTACGACCGTTTTAGCGCTATTATCGCTTTGTGGAACGGGGCCTGGGTAAATAATAATATCAGTAATATTCCAGTATTATAACGACTGCCTGCAAATACCCGAGCGAATCATTTACTGACAGTATGAACAACAACTTTTCAGGCCGCCGGGTATGACCTTTAATCAGCCATCCCACACAACCCGATCCTATTTTCAGTGTGATCGTACGACACAGGGTGCTGAGGGCCTATTCTGCGAGTTGTGTGTAACGTTATTTTGCAGTATGGCGGCATCTCAGGAGAAGAAGAACATGGCGTAGTGTGTAACCTCAAATTCCTTACACTTCAGTTTAACTACTCACAATGGAACAAGAATGAACCTAACAACCTAGGTAACGAAAACTGTGCTGCCATCCTTGGAAACTGGGGGGCAGACCAGAACGGCAAGTGGAATGACTATGCATGCAGCAAACCGTACAGCTTCATCTGCCAGAAGGCTGCAAGTAAGTAATCCCTCTGATTCCCATCCTCCCGAGGCAAGAGAGTTAACTGACTATAAAAGTCCAGTTCCACCCTTGCCTAACTAAGCTGGTATTATGGAGTTACATTTTGGCAGGACTAACGCGTCTATGCGTAATCCAATCACAATCGCACAACGAAATCGAAATCCGGTTCGTAAACAGATTTCGGTCGATTTCATGATTTGCAAAACATGTGCACCGCCAACTCGTTGTGAACAGATATTTTCCAAATCTTTTCATGTTTTTAATCAAGGTGCTTACGTGATTTGATGCACTCGGTGATGTAAGACCCGTTTTATCACAATATAGATCTTGATTACCGATCAGATCGTCTTGACCGGGCGCCGCCATTTTGTTTGAAGCAAGTGATACGAGAGGTTGAATCTGATTGGTCCATAGGAGAGGCATGGAAGGGACATAACTTGTAATAGCCACCGGTGGCGCTACGATCGAGCCTAGGAATTCCAGCCTAGCTCGGCAAGGGTTGAAACTGGACTTTTAAAGTCAGTTAACTCTCTTGCCTCGGGAAGATGTTTGATTCCTAATTGCATTGTCAACTCAGATAAATTTTATATTCTTTCAAAGTTAGGCGTATAAACGTTTTCACCCGAATCATGGTAGGGCGTCTCTAGTCACTGTTTAAAGTGACCCTACTGGAAATACATATACTTATGCAAAGGTAATAATTATCATAATCTGTTGTTGCAGTAGGGCGTGAGGAGGTATATGCTCTTGGCTTATTCAAAGAGCAAAAAGCAGTCATACAGAATTTACATATATTTCACTTAGTGTCAGCTAAATGGGTACGGCATATGTGAAACCCATCAGCATGGGTTTGGTGGTGTCACACAAAGCGTCATTATCAGGACGAATATTGTGTTCCAACACATGCTCAGTGGGTCTTGGCACGGCTATGGGTGGCAGTTCTGAACAGCGAAGTAAGGTGCTTTACACGACCCAGCCACCCGTGCCCTCGCTTTACCGTTGGTTATCCATACTTTAATGTAGGGGCAGCTAGTTTGCATACGTATACGTAGTACGATAGTTGACAAATCAATTGTGATAATTTTAAATTGAGTTTAGTCAAACTTGTGACTACCATTTAAAATGTTTCTTCCAATTTTCTGGAGTCTGTAAAGAATTCTCTCATTCCATAACATCACTCGGGTAAAAGATAACTTCATTATTTATGTATTGTAGTGTTTATATGACAGGTAAAGCCCTTTGATGATCCATATTATTATTTATCTCCAATAATCCGTGCTTTCCGTAAGAGGCGACTAACGGGATCGGGTGGTCAGGCTCGCTGACTTGGTATTCTAATTGCGTAGATCGATTCTCGTGATATCAATCATTGGATTGTCTGTTCCAGACTCGATTAATTACACATCCACCATTTAGTTCGAATATTGCGGTGTGCGGCGTTTAACAACAAACAAACAAAATATAGGTGAAACCTGTGACCATAAGCGTTGTTGCATGTGTAAAAGGTTGAAGATGTAGATGTACACGAAGTGGGTGACTGTCTTACTGTCTAAAGCTCGTCGTTCCCGTGAAGATCCGGGGTAGAAAAGGTCTTCAGCAACCCATGCTTGCCGTAAAAGGCGACCATGCTTCTCGTAAGAGGCTATTAACGGGATCGGGTGGTCAGGCTCGCTGACCTGGTTAATGCATGTCATCGATCCCAAATGCGTGGATCGATAATCATGTTGTCAATCACTGGATTGTCTGGTCCAGACTCGATTATTTACAGACCGCCGTCATATAGCTGGAATATTGCTGAGTGCGGCGTTAAGCCACAAACAATCAATCAAACTAAAGCTCGTCTAAGACGAACACATTGCTATTGATGTACGTGTTTGGAAGACATGCCAGGAGTATGCAATCACAACTGTAATGTTGACACGAAACTTGATTTCTAATTTCAGCAAGTGTCGGTGAGGGTATCACTTTTAGTCTTGGTGTTGTAGCTGTGTAATGATATGTGCATGCAGACTTTCTCCAATTTAATAAAGAAGACATTCTGACTCATCACAGTTATTGAATCTAGACTTGCTGGCACCCTCGAGTCTTCTCCTTCAGAAACCTCTTTGTTCTTTGTGTTGTTTGTTCTAGAGATGGCATGACCTGTGACGCTGTACAAAAGAGCTTTCATTTCAAAACCAACCTACCAGTCTAAACATGGAATTATGTTTCTTCAAAACACATTAAAGAGACAAATTATATAAGTGCTTAACTGCAAATACCCAGAGCAACCCAAAACGAGTCGGTGCAATCCAAACGCAATCAACTTTTGGTAATGTTCACGGAAAGAAAATAAGTGATGTTTCGAAATTTGCAATAAGAGGTCACTGCATAAACGACAAATTTGGGATGAGCGTTCCTTTCAAGTTCTTTCCAAGTTTCGAAATAGAGCTTTTTCTTCTAGTGATATTGCATTCTTGACCGCTGTGTCTCGCAGCATCTCTGACTATTAAAAATCTATCTTTGTCTAGAATTGCTTATCATTAATGTCCACTCGATTCATCATAGTATAGTTCTTTCACTCTTGATGTTCCTGTATGTGGAAATTTATGACGGCATTTTGAATTCTATATTTAAATACATAAAAAAATTGTGACCCCCGTGTCCTAAGAGGCGACTTAATGGATCATGTGTACAGGCTGGGGGACTGGATTGATTGTGTGTCATACCCCGATGCTGTGGATCGTAGCTAATAACATCATCCCTGGATTGTCTGGTCCCAACCCAATTATTTATAGACCGCCGTCGTATAGCTTGAATATTGCTGGAGAGGTGTTAATCAACATGCAACTGAATGTGACCTTTATTAAGTATAAGGTATTATGCCTATTGAAAGCTAACTGTCACAGAATTCCTACATCTCATGCCTAATATAGTTTAAGGTATCACAAAGCCTAATGACATTCCCATGCATTTAGGTATTAGTATAAGAATGTATACTGATATTTGCTTACAGAAAATGATCCCAATCGGTCGACTCTCGCACCAACACCTAAACGTGAGTATCGCTGTAACACTGGTCGAAATATACGACCACAATAAGTTAAAGCACACCCTATTTTATCACATGGCTATAGTTTATCTGCCATATCATGAAAAACACTGGTGTTTTTAATTTCTGTTGAGTAGTATCTATCAAAGAGGTGGTAATCAAACAGTCTTGTCTATTCGAATGAATACATCACGACATGGGGAATACTGAGTGAGTGAGTGAGTGAGTGAGTTTGGTTTAACGCCGTTTTTAACAGTTTTCCAGTCATATCACGGCGTGTCAGATTAATGTGGGAGGGAAGCCCGAAGTGATGCAGGTCTCAGACGTTTACCACTTCGGTGAAACCCACGAGCACGGGTATGGTGCTGACAAACCTAGAAACCTTATCGGGGCGAACCGGGATTCGAACCCACAATCATATGTTTCTGGCGTGCCTAAGGGACGCAACTGTGCACAGCGAATCGCGGCGCCTTAGACGACTGGGCCACCCGTGCCCCCTCGGGAATACTGAAGTAATGGGTACACAACGCAGTGATTTCCGATGGAAACAAATAATATGTGTTTCTAAACTGGTCTTCGTTTACTACCAACATCAAGACATGATTGTTACGTCATCTACATAGTTTTGCATATTGTTTTATACATGACATTCCATGTGAAGATCAGGGTTAGAATTAATTTTCGGCAACCCTTGATTGTCGTAAGAGGCGACTAACGGGATCGGGTGGTCACTGGTCAGGCTGTCAATTACTAGTAAGTAGATCGATGCTTCTTATACCAATCTCTTAACTGTCGCTGAGTGCGGTGTTTAACAAACGAACAAATTAAACGGGACTTTTTGGCTTGGACAATAAACATTGACGCTGCTTTAAAATGAGACTGTTGTAATTTTACTGACTAGGAAATTTGTTTCAGCCGTATTCAGCAAGAAATGCGGTGCATATTGGGAAGAGTCTTCTGTGTCGGACTACTGTTACCAGTTCAACACCGCCCTGTTGTCGTGGATGGACGCACGAGAGATGTGCATGCACCGTGGTGGTCAACTTGCCAGCATCACCAGCCTCTCAGAACAGTTCTACATAGCTGGTAATAAAATCTACCCAACTTCTGTATTAAGGTAGCACTGGAGTAGCCCAGTGGTTGAAGCGTTCGCTTGTGACTTCGAAGGCCCAAGTTCAAATTTCCAACTGGGTACAATGTATACAGCTCATTCTTAATGTTCTCCTCAGTGACTTGTAATATTGCTCAGAGAACCTTCTGAGTCACATGACTGATTGATTCTATTGCCGATGACTATTGGTAAAGAAGTCGGTATTAGCCATTATGATATCTTGTTGTACCTTTGTGAGATTGACACGTTATCCTGCTCTAATATTCTGATGATTGTATCAGTGTACCTGCTACAAGACACAACCTTCAGGCATCTATGGGTTGGACATAAAAAGATCTTCATCAGCATGAATCAGCTGCAAGGTATCGCAAGCATGTAACGCGTCCCAACACCGATTTGCATTCATGGAGCGTTGCTTTACGGTGTTACAATTACGAGTACCATATTTTGAACGGAGTCGCATTCGCCACCTAAAATATGTCCAAAATTAGTAGTAAACACATATATTGTTAACAACGTTCCATCATTTGCGATGTGACGTATGGTTATGCAGCGATCGTATTTCTGTAATATTTAAGCTACTACATAGCAAAATACTGGTGATTTCGTAAACTGTGGACTGCTCTACAGCGGTTTCAGTTTTACCTGCTTCCTATGCACTCTCTTCTTCCAGCCCTTCCACACACTTTTTATTCCAAATGAGTGACATCGAATCCACAATAACAATCTAGCAAAGAGACCCGTGCCTATGGACACTTGGTAGTCACAAGTCACTTATCAAATAATGCCACACATAACGCCAGTATCTTAACGGAGGAAGAAATGCATCAGCACTATCAACTTTTGACTTGACTCTAAAACCTGAAGATATGACCATTCTTCTTTTGAACTGGATTCCAAAGCTCCATAAAAATCCGTACAAAGAGAGATACTAGTATATTGCTGGGTCAAGCAACTTTTTTCACAAAATCCCTGTTTCAAAGATTAACCATAACCATCAATACAATTAAGGAAGGACTTTCTATATATTCACAGAAAGTATTTGAGACAAGTGGAATTAATACCATGCGGATTCTCAAAAACTCAAAGGATGTATTTGACTTTTTACAATAACATAAAAAACAGGTTCAATTTAATTTTTCATCTTTATACAAAATGAGTGACATCGAATCCACAATAACAATCTAGCTAAGAAACCCGTGCCTATGGACACAACCGTTGTCATTGAGAAGTATGTTCAAGCTGCTGGTATTTATCTACACATGACTTCATGGTCTGGCTCCACTATACCTCAGAGAACTTACAAGGTTTTACCAACCTCAACGGGCATTACGATCTGCCTGCCAACAACAGATAGTGGAACCACTGGCTCGGACAACATTGGTTTGGAACAGAACCCTACAGCAGACCTGGCGCTGCTCTATGGAAGTAGCTTCTAGTGGGTGTCGGGAGATCCAAGGATGTAAGCAGCTTACGGACAACACTCGGGACCATCCTCTTTGAAAGTGCACGTGACTTGTGCTCTTGAAAAGGGACTATTTAGATAAGATGCACGGTATAAATGTTTAAATTAAATTAAATTAATTGCCTTTGAGGACTGTATAATTGATTTTATTGTGTGCAGATTTAACATGATCTAGGTTTACTGAATTTACGCATTTCAGGTCGCATCAGGGGCATTTCCATTGTGGGACTTTGGATTGGGGCTAACGACCGTGACAGCGAAGGAGGATGGGTCTGGGAAGATAGAGCCCCTTTCGCCTACATGAACTGGGTGCCAGGTCAGTGTGCCAGGCTGTGTGTAGGGGATAGCAGAGACCCTAAGGAAAGACTTGTCTCCCAGGAAAACTCTCCACTTCCGGCGCGTATAGACGAATCGAAACATGACAGATGATGAAAACGTGACTCTTGTTTATGAATAACAACCACGTTTTCTTTAGATCGACTTTTCAGGGTGCCTTTATTAGATTACCTCCATTGAGTTAATAAATAGACATACTCTTATGTTTACCAAAGGTTGGAGTAATGTACAAAAATAACGATATCATTACCATTCTTAGACTACGATATTTGCTGGCAACAAACCAAAATTCACCATACCAACATCAATCACTGGAAAAAAGGAAACAGCAAGAAATTATTGAAATACATAGAAAGAAGCACGCCATTCACAGAGACCAATGCCAACTTAAAATTACTAAATAGCATTTCTCTGTCGTTGGAAATATTAACAAAAATTCTTCTCATCATCATGATCATGAGAGATACACAATCATGAACTACTGAAGATGACCTGTAGAAACCTCGGTGAACCATAACAATGCTTGAAGTAACACCCTTTTCTGTGTGACAATAGTCACTTATTGCAAATGACTGGAGCGTGTACGCGCCATAAGTTATAATCGCCTAAACATCTGCCGCTTAACGCATGCGAATCAAGAGCAGATAAGTATGACCCTACTGTCCATTCATTGGCAACAAGTTTTCATACTCTCTTAAGTTTTCGGCTAATATAATCCGAATCATTGACACTATGTTGAAATAATGTTCAGAGACATATATGTTACAGACCTATTGGTAATTGAATCCTCTATCTTAAATAAACACACACGTCTTACAGGCGAGCCAAACGATTACGGCAACAGCGAGGACTGTGGATTCGTCGTCACCAACAATGCCAGGTGGAACGACTTCAACTGCCAGAGGAGGAATGGTTACATTTGTAAAAAATTAGGTACGTGCTTCAAAATAGTGTTCTGTTCACCTGTGTGATGACAATATATTTATTACAGCATACATCCTAATCAGACAATGATTATTCTAATATCCAGAAAGTGCAGGGCCTATAGTGTTACATTTGTGTTTCAGGAAATATCCAGGCCACCACTGTACAGCCAACGACATCACCAATGACTCTGCCAGGTAGGGAACGATGGAAATTCGTTTCCTCGTCGTCACAACCCTCACCATGAAATAGCCAATAATATGAATAGTTACACCCGTCAAGTGATGAACGAGCATTTTGCTTCAGCTATGTACCCTCCATACCTGATTCTTCATCTTGATGCTGCAGCTTCCCGGAAAGAGAAACCCCCTTCATGACCACTACATAGATTCAGTAGATAGTGTTCATTCCTACAGATTCCAACAAGCGTCATACGACTATGGCTAAAAGGGGTGTTTGACTAAGGTTACAACATTTAAAACCCTCGGTGAAGCTTTCAAATCGTATTACTGTAGATAGGTGGAGATTATTTCCAAAACTGACGCATCAGTGGCAAACTAATGTCCGATGCGGTTACCTCTTTTGGCTTTCTACCATCCGTTTCGTATTTGTGCTGGTAACCCTTGACTTGTGGAGCCTTTGTATGTGTTTATGACGGGTGCCACCGCTGTCACAGGATACGTTTACATTTACGCGAACATCTGCTATAATTCATAAACACATGCTTTTCTAAACTGGAATCACAACTTTAAAACCATTTCTGATGTTGTCGAAACATATCTCAATAAATGGGCAACAAGGGATGAAGAAACTGTTGAATGTCTTTAAGAGTGGGTTCAATCAGTGCGTGATGATGTCATTGGTAGAATGCACAAACTCAAAAAGAGAAAACAGAAATGGAAACAAAACACTCTGTCCCGGCCAGCTGTCATCCAAATTCTCAAATAACATATTAATCATTATATGTAAGCATCACTACATAAATTGTTTGATCAAACAACTTGGTATAAGTCACATATCAAATAATGCCACACATAACGCCAGTATCTTAACGGAGGAAGAAATGCATCAGCACTATCAACTTTTCACTTGACTCTAAAACCTGATCACGCTGAAGACCCGGGTTCGATTCCCGACATGGGTACAATGTGTGAAGCCCATTTCTGGTGTCCCGCGCCGTGATATTGCTGGAATATTGCTAAAAGCGGCGTAAAACCATACTCACTCACTCACTCACTAAAACCTGAAGACATTACCATTCTTCTTTTGAACTGGATTCCAAAGCTCCATAAAAATCCGTAAAAAGAGATATATATTGCTGGGTCAAGCAACTTTTTGCACAAAATCCCTGTTTCAGAGATTAAACATAACCCTCAATACAATTAAGGTAGGACTTTCTATATATTAACAGAAAGTATTTGAGACAAGTGGAATTAATACCATGCGGATTCTCAAAAACTCAAAGGATGTATTTGACTTTTTACAATCTCATAAAAAAACAGGTTCAATTTGATTTTTCATCTTTATACACCACTATCTCACATGACAAACTTAAGGGAAAACTTCATTCCTTGATCCATAGGGCTTTTGTTACATAACGTGGTAATCATGACCACAGATGCAGTTACATATCTATCTTCAGAGGTTCAGGTCAATTTGTCAAAAATGAACGCAAATGACATCTGAACTTTACTGAGAAAACAACATGCAAAATGTTGGACTTCCTCGTTGACAACATCTATGTACATTTTGGGGGTAATATATTTAGGCAAGAAGTAGACATCCCCATGGGAACCAATTGTGCTCCCCTTCTTGCTGATCTGCTTCGTTATGCATATGATAGGAAGTGAACGAATCTGGCCACGTAGTTTAACGTAAGCTTCAGGTATATCGATGATCTGATATCGTTAACCATAAAATAGCAATAACCATCAAATAGCCATTCCCTTCCACTGATTTACCAACCTGGACTAGAAAAGAGGAGATTAGTGAGACCGCTTCATATGTTTCATATCAAGATCTATGTAGAAAGATTCAAGAATGTATGACAAAAAAACTTTCCTTTACCTTATGTGGAGTAATATTCCAGCAGCTCCGGCCCTCAACTTTTGAGATACAATTGAGCATGATCTATCTGCCATTATTTCAAAGAGCGTCATACAACATTTATTCAGAAGTTCTTTGATCAAGGTTACAAAATCCAGGGGTTTTGTGGTAGACATGTGGAGGACACGTGGCGGATCATTGACAAAAATCATGTCCAATGCAATTCACTGTTTTGACTTGTACTATATGTTTCCGTGTTTTTTCAGGTGAACAGTTGACTTGCCTTTGCATTTGTTTGAGGCAGGTACCACCGGTTGGGCAGGATATGCTCACCTTTCGCGAACGCCTGGTCTCATCACTATTTGATAGTGATTCATAAACACATGCTCATGCTGTATACAGAATGCAAGATATAACTTATGAATTTGGAAAGAGTGTTGTTGCTTTTATTTTGATAGTCGGAATCGTAAAGTGGAAATGCCTCATGGTTATAGAAAATGTATTGTCTCTTTTATATTCATTTATGTAGCATTTCAAACCTACCGCTGAACATTTATTTGAGCAACCTCCCTTATATCAATTTACCCTGAATATATCATTGTAGTTCTTTCTCCTTCTCAGCCGGCAAGTTTTACGGGTGCAAGCCAGGGTGGAAGCCATACCTCAACTCGTGCTACCTCGTGGTCAAGACGGAAGTCACGTGGCAGGCAGCGAGGACAGCCTGTCGAGCCGCCGGAGGAGACTTAGCCAGTGTCGCAAGTAAAACAGAAAACCAGTTCATCAACAGCCAGATCCAAAAAGGTAAAACTTCTTGACGCAGTTGGCATGTTGTTTCTTTCTGCTCATGATTCTCAAAGGCATTACCTCGAGTAGCCCTTTACTTTTGAACGCCTTACAGATTCTTACCTAATATAACGATAATATAACCATAGTATGACCATCTTCAGTGGCATGTTTGTGTAGTTCTCACTCGCCGGCAGCTAATACATATCTATATCTGGAATTGAGAAACAGTAAGACGCTGGTAGCTAAACATCATGATTGATGCCATCTAAATATTTTGACACTGTTCAGTCTTACTTTAAATAAATAATGACAAATGCTTATTGATCATTCGCATGTTAATATGCGAATAAGCACTTGAAATGTACCTAGGTTTTGTTTTTATCAGTATGTGTGTTCCCGTGTAGTCCACTACATCTCTCCATTACCTTTGCCCTTCTTCCACCGCTGCTTCGGCTATATAACTTCAGAACCCTCCTCCAGCAGGCTAAAGCATGACTGAATATTGTATTTGAAGTAAGTATATGCATGTCTGTGCAACCATGTCTTGCAGCCCTCGATCATATATGATCACCTCGATAATGCGAATGCGCATGGTTACTTATAAACATACCAGAGATATGAAATATTGAAGCCATGTTGTGCCCCCAGAGAAATGCGTGAATGCGTATTCCAACAACACCAAGTGCGAGGTATGGGCTGAGAGTGGAGAGTGTCAGAAAAATCCAATATGGATGGCGGCCAACTGCAAAGACGCATGCGCACTGTGTGAGTTTGTGTGCGCAGATCGACACACTCTTGCTGAGTGCGCAGCATGGGCGGACATGGGCGAGTGCAGGAAGAACCCTGACTGGATGCACGTGCACTGCGCATTGTCATGTGGCCGCTGTGATCTGGGTGAGTGGCGGAAGTCGTCGCGAAGTGCATGCTGGGTGTTCGCCATAAAAAGATTATCTCGGAAACGCGTTCTTCATTCATATTATTTCTGGGATATAGGTAACTATTTATATAGGATGAATTTAAAGGCCAATAAAGTATGTGTAGTTCATTTCCAAAACCTTCCCCGCATTGCTTTAAGTCCGCTTATGTCACAGTTACCTCCCTTTGTATAAAATATCCTCACGTTTCACAGCGTTGTCTCCCCTTAGCGAAAACACTGTTCATCGTGCGAGATCACGTTAAAGCTAAAACTACATGTGTTTCACATCTTATAAGGCTGCATTCGGAGAACGCGTCACACGTACGTATCGTACATGTATGTATCATACATGTGCCATCCGAAATACTGTTCAACAGTGGAATATGTCTGTTTCAAAACAGACATATAATAGCCATTATGGGGCGATAAACGTTTGTGGTTTGTTCTAGGTTTCAATGACGGAGTCTGGATTGGTTTCAACGACCTCAAAAACACAAACTCCTTCGTATGGACCAACGGTGACGTTAACAAGTTTACTAACTGGGCCCGGAACGAGCCTAACAACTACCAGGGCCATGCAGAAGACTGCGTCGTTCTCTACAGCAATGTGAGTATTTCGGTAGCATCCAAGGGGAAACAACTCGGTGTGTTTTCGAATTGGATAGGGTTAATGTGTGAATGGTTATTAAAGCTGCAGACAGCTTTTTCCAGCTATACCACGGCGGCCTGTAAATATTCGATACTGAACCATACCAGACCGTGAAAGCATGACCAATGATCGACGCCATCTAGTTACAATGACACGCAATTGTTAAACGTTATGATATAATTCCGATTGCATGACCGAACAGTTCCGAATGACAGACCGGATATTAAGGGAGCTGACGGGCTATAGATCATGGCAACCCGTATGTACGTCTTGATGGAATTAAGGTGTCAACATTAATAGACGACTTGAGATGATTTGTCCTTTCCTGGTGGTCAGGAAACGTTATCAGCCAAAGAAATTCGTGGATGGCCCGGGCCGACATCTAGTCACTAAAATAAAAATATTTTACAGAATAAAACAGTAATGTTGTTGTTATCTTAATAAAATATATAAAAGGAGCCCAGCGACTCCCTACATTTCCAGAGACCCTGTAACTATAGTTGTGTAGACTTCCAACTATTGTAGACTTGCTTGACTGTATAGCTACTGTGTTACTGTGCCTGGTGTGTTTTGTATTCATTCAACGTTGTTTCATTACGATCATTATTATCGATGGTCTGTCAGCACCATATCCATTCGCTGGATTCACTACCATGACCTGCATCGCCTCGAACGTGGCATGTTGCAAGCTTTGATATATGAATGTTGAAAGTGGCGTTAACTAACGTCAAAATGTCTTCAACCAACAGGCAGGCCCTGGCACGCATGCGCTCTCAATCTCCGACCACATTGGTTTGTCAAGTATGCCTCAACAGAATTATGTGTTGTTTGGTTTCAGGGAGCTCAGTGGAACGACGATTCCTGTGACGCGAACCACGGCTATGTGTGTAAGGCCTCCAAACAGGTGACGGCCGTCACGCAACAGTCGCCATTTTCTGTGGGCTGTTCCAATGTCAAGGTTAGCGTCGCTTGGATCGTAAACACATAATACTGTTAGTTAAGAAATATACGACTCGTTTATTTCTTGTATGAAATATAAACCATACGTACAGCCTCTTTGTTAGTAAAAAGAACACGTTTTAAAAATATTAATCCGTATATAAATAATGATGACTGCCTGAATATGATCCTATCTCGGCAATGGGGAAATTTGGTCTTTCGCATATTTATTCTCACAATTTCAACGTCGATTATCTGTACCTTTTCTACCAATATCGACTAACATGTATCGCCCACGTTTGGAAGCGGCCATTCGGCCATTGCGTTTATCTACGTTAAACAACTCACTGGACTCTTCCCTCTAAAAAATAACGTCGTCCAATTAACGACGTCATCAAGTTGCGAGCGCATGTTCGAATCTCCAGAAATGTTTTTTTCAAGGTTTTTTCAATCTTATATAAGCAACTGAACACGTGACTCTAGGTAAAATGTCCGAAGCCCTTCTGACAAATATATTATTCCCTTGGATTGAATTTCATTCTTAAGTTTAAAACATGAGTCCATATGCATGTACAGTTAACAGTAAAGGTTAACTGTTTCTAAATGTGCTGTACATGAATCCACATGCATGTACAGTTAACAGTAAAGGTTAACTGTTTCTAAATGTGCTGTACATGAGTCCATATGCATGTACAGTTAACAGTAAAGGTTAACTATTTCTAAATGAGCTGTACATGAGCCCATATGCATGTACAGTTAACAGTAAAGGTTAACTATTTCTAAATGAGCTGTACATGAGCCCATATGCATGTACAGTTAACAGTAAAGGTTAACTGTTTCTAAATGTGCTGTACATGAGTCCATATGCATGTACAGTTAGCAGTAAAGGTTAACTATTTCTAAATGAGCTGTACATGAGCCCATATGCATGTACAGTTAACAGTAAGGGTTAACTGTTTCTGAATGTGCTTTGTCCCTTCCAGGGCAGCCTCGGGTATCAGCACTACTGCTACCAGTTCAACAACATCCCCTTGGCGTGGCAGGCATCGGAGAACATGTGCAAGACACGGGGAGGTCATCTGGCAACAATCAACTCGTAGTGAGTTACCTTGAGTTTCCCAACTGCCTAGACCGGGTACAATACACTGTGTTCATTGATGTACTAGTAAAATATAACCACCATGTTCCATGTTCTACTAAAATACAACCACTATGTTCGTGTTCCAGTAAAATACAACCACTATGTTCCATGTTCAGGTCAAATACAACCACTATGTTCGTGTTCTAGTAAATACAACCACTATGTTCGTGTTCTAGTAAAATACAACCACAATGTTCCTGCTCTGGCAAAATATTTCCACTATGTTCGTGTTCTAGCAAACTACAACCACTATGTTCCATGTTCAAGTAAAATACAACCACTATGTTCGTGTTCTAGTAAAATACAACCTTAATGTTCCATGTTCAGGTAAAATACAACCACTATGTTCCATGTTCTACTAAAATACCACCGCCATATTCGTGTTCCAGTTAAATACAACAACTATGTTCGTGTTCCAGTAAAATACAACAACTATGTTCGTGTTCTAGTGACATACACCCACTATGTTGTGTGTTGTGTTCTAGTAACATATGAGTACAGTATTACAGTGAGATCCTGTCTTGTTCAAGTGACGTCCAGTCATTCATTGCATCCGAGCTGACCAAGAGGGACGACGTGTACTGGATCGGCCTCACCGACGTCGCCGACCCTGGAAACTACACCTGGGCAACGGGGGACAAACTGCTATACACGCCCTGGGACAAGAGTCACAACGGTGGGTGTTCAAGTAGCAGTGTTCTCTGGCATGAGTGGTGGTGTAAGTGTGAGACACACTCAACACTATTCCAGCTATGGGTAAATATACGAACAACGACAAATGCCATCGGGGTACGATGAAACGTTATCATTCCGTCTCGACATGACCACCCGATCCACTTGGTCGCCTAATACTACAAGCATAGGTTGCTATGGGATCATTCTAACCCGAAATCCCTAAGGCTCCACCATTTTGTAATGTAGATAAGTATTGAAATCAAAATGCCGTCACGTATTGTCACATACAGGAACATCAAGAGTAAATGTACCATACTATGGTGAATTGGAGGGGCATTTAGAAAAGGTAGATCACAGCAATGTCAAAAAAACAAGAGACTTTTAATACTTTATTTAAATGCTTTTTTTTAATGCAATATTACTAGATGAAAAACTTGGACAGAAAATGAAAGAAACACTCATTCCAAATTTGCCGTTTATGCAGAGACATCAGTTGATTGCATCTGCATTGCACCGACTCGATTTTGGTCGCTTTGGGTTTGTGGAGTGACCTCTTATTCCTTAATTTGTTCTTGAGCCTTCGTGTGGGGGGGGGGGGGGGGGGGGCAAACAGACGCTTCACACAAGGTTGAAGTGGTGACAATAATGGTGTCTCAGACGTTTACCCCTTTTCGGAAACCCACGAGCACGGTATGGTGCTAAAAACCTAGAGGAGGGACGGATGACCAAGTCGTCTAAGGCGCCGCGATTCGCTGTGCAGAGTTGCGTCCCTTGGACACGCCAGAAACATATGATTGTGGATTCGAATCCCGGTTCGCCCCGATTATGTTTCTTGGTTTGTCAGCACCATACCCGTGCTCGTGGGTTTCACCGAAGTGGTAAACGTCCTAGACCTGCATCACTTTGGGCTCTCCTCCCACATCAAGCCGACACGCCGTGATATAGCTGGAATAATGTTAAAAGCGGCGTTAAACCCAACTCACGCACTCACTAAAAACTAGAAACACCTCTGCACAGAGACTTGCGGCGCCCAAGACGACTGGGCAGTCCGTGCCCCCACACCTGTACATTAAATGTGATTATGCATGTGATCACATCTATCAACGCAAATCCCTTATGTTATGTGATTTTCTTTGTTAAAAGGCTAACAGTTTCAAATTGTGGCCCTGTTATCCATTTAGTTGATGTGTTCTATGTTGAAACAGGCTCTGAAAGATCAACGTGTGTAGGCATGAGGACCACCCTGCCCACTGGGCTCTGGCAGAACCTACAGTGTACCGTCATCAAACCCTACATCTGTCAGCTCCCGAGGCAGGGATTCACCCCACCGCCGACAACCCCCACCCCCACCACCTCCGTCCCGCTCCCATGCGCATCTGGGTGGAGTGGGTATCAGTCCTACTGCTACAAGGTAATGTAGGCCACACCCAGCCTCACAGCGGGATCCCAGAAGTTGTAAGAAATATGCAATGGAAGCAGACTTGACATAGAACTTCTTCATTCTTTCTTCGTTTCTGTACATGTGTTAGTACTCTATCGGCCGTTGTACAAAGCGATCTTAGCGCTAAGGTGATCGTAGCTCCCATACCTTAAAAATAGACTTACGAGAGTCCTAGCGCTTAGGTTGTTTTGTACAACGTCACCCAGCTGGCGATATAGCAACGATTACATATGCAAATTAACAAAACAGCATACAAACAAAGGTGATTAAGTGATCATAGCGATGAAACCTATACCCGGCTGTGAAGTGTGGCGGGGATATAGGTTTGAGCTGTGTCTGTCCGTCCTTCTTTCCGTTCGTTCGTCCGACATTCATGGGGATACAAAAATGAGAACATTTTTCATCATTAAGGGATACATTTACAGTTGATTTAGCCCGAAACAAACCATCGAAAATTCCTGTTTTACAGTTCTATCAATGTCTTGGAAACATTTTGAATACGTCATTAGTTGATGAATAAGTTTGAAAACCGCCACCAAGAATGAATATTTTACAGAGTTATGACAATTTATGTAGAGTTGGATTCGCTTCAGGAGCACGACTAATAAAACCGTTTGGTATATCTTCATGACACTTTGTATACCCAACAGACAATACTTAGTGCTGAAAAAGTGCCTTTGATATCATGGAATTTTGCAATTTGTTATTGTTTCGATGGAGAGTAGTTCTTGTGCAAAAACGTTCTCCATGAAACCGTTCTACTGTAGTTGCTTATAAATACATGACTCTTTTGAATGGATAACAATTATATTAATATTTCTTTATTCTTTGTAACGACATTTTAGGGCTACGTCTTGCCATTTGCCATTGAGATTACAATAAAATGAGGTAGCTAATGAGATTAACGGGAGAAAGCCCAATGATGTACAATGAAGAAGGGACCGGTTACGATAACAAAGAACTGACTGTAGTAAAGCTAACAATACGGCAATCAAGATATCCAATTGTGGATACTGATGCTTAGGATTAAAGCATATTTTGTTGTTGGTCGTTTAACGCCGCACTCGGCAATGTTCCAGCTTTATGACGGTAGTCAGTAAATAATCGAGTCTGGACCAGACAATCCAGTGATTTACATCATGAGCATCGATCCAGGCAATTGGGATACGATGACATGCATCAACCAAGTCAGCGAGCCTGACCACGCGCTTGATAGATGCCTTGGTCTCAGTCTGTTAATAGCTGGCTTCTTTCTTTTGATTTCAATAGTTTCTTGTACTGGTTAATTAAGGCATCTGCCTATCGCTCTCCCAGACATCGAGCTATTTGTTCACAAAGGCGGGTATATAGATGAACCTGTTAATTTTGGACCTGCTCCAGGACGAACTGTGGTACCTTGTGACAATTCCATGTCATAAGCAAACCTAAATGCAAATCCCGTGTCCAACAGGCGTTCAGGATGAGCTCCAGCCAGCGGAAGACGTGGTCGGAGGCGCTGGTGTACTGCCAGGGTCTGTCTGGGAGTTTGGCCAGCATCCACAGCAAGGAACTGGAGAATTTCCTCCTCACCAACCTGCTTAGGTAACGTCTACAATAGATTCTTACGAAACCACCCACGGCGGCACAAGATATTATGTGGTCGTTGTGGCAGATACCGATTAAAGCTTGATGGTGGGACGTACACTATCAATCAGGTACACTTCCAGAATACCGGATACCTTTCCGCCATGTTTGGCTGATGCTACTAATATGGCAGCTCGCGACATCGTGAATATTTAAGATAGCACGATGAAGCTCAACATAAGCAGAAAGAATACTCCGCTTGCGTTTGTAAGTAAGTGAATTTGGTTTAGAGGGCGCTTTGATAAAAAAGAAGGGCGGCGAAAAGGTCACTAGACACACTCCTTACAAATGAGGCAGAAGGTATCCGGTATTCAGTATTCTAGCCGCCAATACATATGGACACAAGGACAATTGGAGGAGATAAACAACTTCTTCATTATAATAGGTCAATACTTCTTTGATAAAAGTGTTAGAAACGTCGCTGAAATTGTATTTCATTAAATAAAGAGTGAATGAGTGAGTGAGTTGGGTTTAACGATGCTTTTAACAGTGTAATAAAGAAGTTATCCATACCAACCTGTCTTGGTTAATCACACCGACTGCCTCTCAAAGAAGAATTGTGGATATATTCCTGATTTCAAAGAATTCTATTTGAATCCGAGGAGTTCGGGAGACGTCTTGGAAAAAAATACTAGCCTCTTCAAGCAGTTCATTTTTTAAGAAATTAATGATAAATTAGATGTATGTATTTAGTCCTTTCTCTCGACATTATCGATTGAAACGTCATACCAAATTCAAACTGCTCTGTTGCAGATTTTACTACAACGCTAACTTCTGGGTGGGTCTTAGTGACAGATCCGTGGAAGGCAGTAAGTAGAAATCAACTCATCATGTTTATCATAATATATATTATTTCCGTGTATATATAAGAAATATTTCACATTAAGAATACGTTGTATAACAGTATGAGCTAATGCGGAGCCCAGATCATGCGATAGTTGACCGCTAGATATTAAGGGATTGATCATTATCATTTTACCTATCTCTTTCGACGTTATTTTTAATGACCCCCTTCCCCTAATAGTCGCAACCCCACCATAATGAACATAATAAATAATAAATCAGTCCTTAATGGTGTTCATTTTCATGTGTCATGTCCATTACGTACTGACGTACTGCACTCTGCAGGTTACGTGTGGTCTGACGGCACCCCCTTCGACTACAACAACTGGTACCGCGGCGAACCAAGCAACTCCGGCGGCAACGAAGACTGTGTGGAGTTTAACGAGTTCACCAAGCAATGGAACGACAACAGCTGCTTTATTGCCAAAGATTTCATCTGTGAGATACCTCGCGGCACCACCGTCCCAACGACGACGATACAGACGACCACGCCGATTGGTATGGTACTTTATTTAAGTACTTTAATATTGTGTCCTTGGTGTTACTGCCGCTCAAAAGAAAGTATATTTTAATAGTGGCTAAAAATTAAACAAACAAGAAATGGTTATTCGTTGGTGATGTCTTTAACACGTGTATCATTGTTGTGTTTGGAACCTTACGTTTGCATAGTAACTTTTGTATAATGTTTTTTGGTCAAATTCACTTTTCTTACTTCTTACTGTGTGTGTGTGCTTGTACTAGTCTGGACAGATGCCGATTTATAGTGCTAGCTCACTGAGATACCATGTCGCAGTTTAACATGAATACCCCACTCAGACACAATATACTGACTCCGAGCCGACCAGTCCTTGCTTTAACCCCTTAATGCCGAGCGCAAGACAGGGTAACAACAAGTGCCATCTTTTAACGTCTTTTGGTATGACGCGGCCGGGGATCGAACCCCGGACCTTCCGCTCTCCGATCGATCCGGGCGGACGCTCTACCACTAGACCACGGAAGCGGTCCGTTGTTTTGGGTAAAAATGAAGAACCATTGAAAGATCTCGAACTAATGTCTGAGTGCGGCGTTAAATAACAATCAAACAAATAGAGCTAATGTACCTACCTAGGTGGTCCAGTTGACGTCGAGACTCTTTTCAGATACTCTGCGCAGGATTTGTTGGGTCATGTGTTAGATTCCCAAATTCACCCGAGTAGTAATTTTCTTGCAGCTCTTATGTTGTTATGCAACGAAGTTTACCCATTCAGTTACGTGTCTATCATCTACCTCACTGTAGAAAGAGGGCACAGCCGGTTGCGGCGCCACAATTCACTTTGCACAGTTGCGTCCAGTAGCTGTGTCAGGATCCGCTGATTTCTGGTTCGAATCCAATAGATTATATTGAAGCATTTCTTTGGTTTGTCAGTACAAATGCCGTTACTTTGGGACTTTCACCAACAGTAGTTGGTTGGTTGGTTTTCATGCACATATCATTACACAGCTACAACACCAAGACTAATAGTGACACTTGCTGAAATTAGAAATCAAGTTTCGTGTCACCATTACAGTTGTGACTGCATTGTCCTTGCATGTCTTCCAAACACGTACATCAATAGCAATGTGTTCGTCTTGGACGAGCTTTAGTTTGATTGATTGTTTGTGGTTTTACGCCGCACTCAGCAATATTCCAGCTATATGACGGCGGTCTGTAAATAATCGAGTCTGGACCAGACAATCCAGTAATATCATGAGCATCGATCCATGCAATTAGAATCGATGACATGCATCAACCAAGTCAGCGAGCCTGACCACCCGATCCCGTTAGTCGCCTTTTACGAAAAAGCATAGTCACCTTTTACGGCAAGCATGGGTTGCTGAAGACCTATTCTACCCCGGATCTTCACGGGTTCACCAACAGTAAGTTGACACATAGTGATCTAACGTAAATACTGATAAGAGCGGATGTACAGCGACTCATTGACGTGGGTATCACTGGGGACCTACAACCTCTAAAGTAACGATGCGTTTATTCCTAACCTCGGGATATACTGTGCCTTGATACCTGATATGTACACTTGTCCTCCCCCAGTTGCATGTGCGGGCACCGACAGCGGCTGGGACTACCACGCGGGCAGCTGTTACTTCATCTCAGCGCCGTGGGGTGCGGACGCGAAGAAGTCGTGGTACGAAGCCCGACGATACTGCATGGGTAAGGGTGGTGACCTCGCCAGCATTCACGACGTGGGCGTCAACAATTTCCTTACATCACTGGTAAGTATATGTGGAGCTGCCACCTAAAGCTGCATATTATCATTGATCAGTTGGTCAGGTCAATAGCGGCAACAGCAGAAGGGTAGATGATGTCACTGCGTGGATAGATATATAGATAGATAGATAGATAGATAGATAGATGAGCTGTATAATTTACTCAACCGGTAATTTCAAGAGTGCGGATAGATAGATAGATAGATAGATAGATAGATAGATAGATAGATAGATAGATAGATAGATAGAGTGACAGAGTGATAGATAGTGTATGTGTCAGAGTCAAAAAATATATTAAACGTATTTTGATATGATGCGACCGAGGAAAGACCCAGCGACCGGATGAAGTTGATTGAACTAATCATGAAAAGTGATTTATTCACAACATTCATAAACTTTGCAAGTCTGCCAAAGTTGATATTTTGATTAAGTGTTGCGTCAACGGCCCTATTGTTACATGTAACATGTTTCTGTTGTTTCCAGATAACAAAGAGGTCGAACGGTATTTACTGGATAGGCCTGAACCAGCTGGGAATGGACAGTTATGTGTATGTTCTGTAGTTCACCCCTCTCAGTTACTCACTAATTCTGTAAATGGCAATTTGTATCTTTCTAAGAAGTTCATGCGTAAATTTTCATTGTCCTTCGTTTATTCTTCGCTTTGTCAGCTGTCAGCAGAAGCAAAAATTCAGTTATTCCCTCACTTCGTCAGCTGGTCGGAAGAGTTAATTCAGTTAATTCCCAGCTTCGTCAGCTGGTCGGAAACAGTAATTCAGTTTTTTCAGTGCTTCGTCAGCTCGTCGAAAACAGAAATTCAGTTTATTCCTCACTTTGTCAGCTGGTCGGAGGCAGTAATTCAATTTATTCCTCGCTTTGTCAGCTGATCGGTAGCAGTGATTCACTTTATTCCTCACTTTGTCAACTGGGCGGAAGCGGTAATTCAATTTATGCCCTCTTTGTCATCTGGTCGGAAGCAGTATTTCAGTTTATTCCTCGCTTTGTCAGCTGGTCGGAAGCGGTAATTCAGTTTATTCCTCGCTTTGTCAGCTGGTCGTAAGCAGTTATTCAATTTATTCCTCACTTTGTCAACTGGTCGGAAGCAGTAACTCAATTTATGCCCGCTTTGTCACCTGGTCGGAAGCAGTAATTCAGTTTATTCCCCACTTTGTCAGTTTGTCGGAAGCAGTAAATCAATTTATTCCCTGCTTCGTCAGTTGGTCGGAAGCAGTAATTCTAGTTTAATTCCTCGCTTTGTCAGCTGGTATGAAACAGAAAATCACTTTATTCCTTGATTTGTCAGTTGGTCGGAAGCAGTAATTCTAGTTTATTCCTCGCTTTGTCAGCTGGTATGAAACAGAAATTAACTTTACTCCTTGATTTGTCAGCTGATCGGAAACGGTAATTCAGTTTTTTCCTTCTTCGTCAGCTCGTCGGAAACAGTAATTCAGTTTTTTCCTTTCTTCGTCAGCCCGTCGAAAACAGTAATTCAGTTTATTCCCCACTTTATCAGTTTGTCGGAAGCAGTAAATCAATTTATTCCCTGCTTCGTCAGATGGTCGGAAGCAGTAATTCTAGTTTATTCCTCGCTTTGTCAGCTGGTATGAAACAGAAATTCACTTTATTCCCTGCTTCGTCAGTTGGTCGGAAGCAGTAATTCTAGTTTATTCCTCGCTTTGTCAGCTGGTATGAAACAGAAATTCACTTTATTCCCTGCTTCGTCAGTTGGTCGGAAGCAGTAATTCTAGTTTATTCCTCGCTTTGTCAGCTGGTATGAAACAGAAAATCACTTTATTCCTTGATTTGTCAGCTCGTCGGAAACAGTAATTCAGTTTTTTCCTTTCTTCGTCAGCCCCTCGAAAACAGTAATTCAGTTTATTCCCCACTTTGTCAGTTTGTAGGAAGCAGTAAATCAATTTATTGCCTGCTTCGTCAGTTGGTCGGAAGCAGTAATTCTAGTTTATTCCTCGCTTTGTCAGCTGGTATGAAACAGAAATTCACTTTATTCCTTGATTTGTCAGTTGGTCGGAAGCAGTAATTCTAGTTTATTCCTCGCTTTGTCAGCTGGTATGAAACAGAAATTAACTTTACTCCTTGATTTGTCAGCTGATCGGAAACGGTAATTCAGTTTTTTCCTTCTTCGTCAGCTCGTCGGAAACAGTAATTCAGTTTTTTCCTTTCTTCGTCAGCCCGTCGAAAACAGTAATTCAGTTTATTCTTCACTTTTTCAGCTAGTCGGAGGTAGTAATTCAATTTATTCCTCGCTTTGTCAGCTTGTCGGTAGCAGTAATTCACTTTATTCCTTGATTTGTCAGCTGGTCGGATACAGTAATTCACTATATTCCCTGATTTGTCAGCTGGTCGGATACAGTAATTCACTATATTCCCTGATTTGTCAGCTGGTCGGACGGATCAACATCGAACTATGTCAACTGGAAGCCGGGCGAGCCGAATGATGCGTACGGTGGTCAGCTGTGCGTGGACATATACGGAGGAGTCACCGCAGGACCAGGTGAGTGGGGAATGAGTGGATGGAATTTTACACAGTAAGGATAAGAATTTATGGATGAACAACTTCTTTATTACAATTAAGAGCGACGTTTCGGTGTAGGTTCTAACACCGTTATCAAGCAAGTACACAATAGTCCGCTCTGTTGCAATCATATGACGGGGACATGTTATTATCGAAAACCAGACAGGCCGACTACCTGTTTACAAATTAACCACACAGTTTCGAAAGCGACCACAAACACAAGCCTAACATCACGAACGGTAGTCAATGACCAACATATCGACATGTACTTACAATATATCCACCAGCTTATTTGTCCATCGTATGTCAAGTTACGACAACTATATCTCAAAGCAAAGTTCTATTGTCATCCTAACGTTCATAAATTTAATATGCTTCTGTCATCACCAGATACATACATGTATATTATTACAAATCTAGCAAAATATCTATATTATGCAAATGAAGTAAGAAATGCGAAATTGAAAGCTTAAAACCTGTCTGTACTCACCTTTTGTACACAAAGTCCCGTGGCCTATATGTATTGGAAATACAATGAATGAATATCCACTTGCACCTACAATTTATGAATATGTACCTACACTATTTCTACATCTATATACATGTACACTATATGTATGTGTCCATCACTACATCTACATACCTACACTACATCCACATGTACCATATCTGTTCAACCGCCTTCGTGGTGTAGTGGATTAAGCGTCTGCCGCGGAAAGCTGAAGGTCGGCGGTGCGATCCCCTGGCCGCGTTATCCCGAAAGACGATACAAGATGGTTCTTGCTGGAACAAGAAACACCAAGCTCGAAATCGGTATAATGTGGGGTTTCCATGTGAAACTGCAGCATGGTAACTCAGTGGATTTGCATTATAAAACCGGCATGCACGTCGCTATGTAATTGCTATAATATCTATATGCACCTACGCTTTATCCACGTATGCCTAAACTATAGCTACTTATGTCAAAACTAAAGCAAGCGTTCTCTCGTTCGGTCCGGGTTCGATTCCCCACATGGGTACACGGTGTGAAGCCGATTTCCGTTCTTCACCGCCGTTATATTGCTGATATTATGCTGGAATGAGCGGCGTAAAACTATACCCACTCACTCACCCACTCTCATATACCTACACTATTGCTATATATGCCTACACTGTTTAGGAGATTAACATACTGTATTTTCAATGTAGTGTTAGGTTACCTGTAGATTCAACCGCGCTAATTTGAATTTGGACCCGAATGCGCTGCGCAAGCTCCGACGTTCATACGGCTTGGCCCTCACTCTGTGAAGGTTTATACTCCAGTGAACTCACACTAAGTGAAAGTCAGTTCTTAAGTGCCTGCACTATATCTACACGCGCCTACACCACATCGAGACATGCCTTCACTTTGCCTACATGTGCATACACTATATCTACATGTGCTTACATGAAATCTACATGTGCCTACTCCACATGTTTCCCCTCAGCCTCCGTGGTCTAGTGGTAGAGCGTCCACCCGGAGCCTCGGCGGAAGGTCCAGGGGTTCGATCCCCGGCCGCGTCATACCAAAATACGTTACAAGATGGTACTTGTTGTTACTCTGTCTGGCGCTCGGCATTAAGGGGCTAAAACAAGGACTGGTCGGCTCGGAGTCAGTATACTGTGTCTGAGTGGGATATTCATGTTAAACTGCGGCATGGTATCTCAGTGAGCTAGCACTCTAAATCGGCATCAGTCCGGACAAGTACAAGCAGCCACACAAACACACACACGTACATGCACGTCGCTATATAAGTGCAATAATCTTGGACGCGACGTTAAAGCCCATTTCACCTCACCTACTCCACATCTAGATATGCCTACTCTATATCTACCTGTGCCTACACTGTATCTACTATTTCTGCATACAGGGTTATGGAACGACGACAACTGCATGGACAGCAACGGTTACATCTGTAAGAAATTCAACGGCACAACATCCACGGTAACACCGCCACCAACACCGACACTGGCGGGAGGATGTCCATCGGGGTTCTCACCTCTTGGTAAGAACATGTTCATGTGTACCATACTGCACCGATCACATGCACTAGGACTCTCTTACCAACATTTGTAAACTGTCACGACAATATGTTTCGTCGGCGTCATCCGCATATTTTCTTCATTAAAAAACATTACCTGATTTGAAAAACCGGGGCGACCCCTGAGAATCCAATTAGAATTCTCATGAAGGTTCCACTGAAGGATCGTCAAAATACCATCGCTGTTTTATCCGTAATCTCGTTCTTCCTCAGTTGTGATCGTATAGGTGTTCGGTATCTCAATCTCCACATTTTGCCTCTAACCAGTTGGTTGGTTGGTTTGGTTTTATTGTTTAACATCGCACTCAGCAATTCTAGCTAATGACGGCGGTCTGTAAATAATCGAGTCTGGACCAGACAATCCAGGGATTAATATCACGAGCATCGATCCACGCAATTGGCATCGATGACATACATCAACCAAGTCAGCGAGCCTGACCACCCGATGCCGTTAGTCGCCTCTTTCGACAGGTATAGTCGCCTTTTACGGCAAGCATGGGTTGCTGAAGACCTATTCTACCCCGGAATCTTCACGGGTGCCCCTAACCAGTAACTGTTGGTGGTACAGTAAAACATTTTTAGCTGGACCCTGATATTCCGAAAACCTTACATTCTGGAAACCTCCTTGTTCCAAAAACCCTCATTTCGGAATCCCAGTTATTCCCAAACCTCTGCATTCCTGACATGTGATTTCGAAAACCTTGCATTCCGGAAACCCCTTTATTCCTGAGATCCTGCATTCCGGCCGATTACTGATAGAAACGTCCAAATCTCTACCCAGGGCATTACTACGTATCCATGATCCCTTAATCCGGAACTTACTCCGGATGATGTTTTTCGGAACGGAACTACAGTTTTAATGTGCACAATAATTGTAGTAGTAGTAGTAGTAGTAGTAGTAGTAGTTACATATACGTTCTTAATGCAGACAACAAGTGCTTCAGCATTGGCGGGAGCACTCTCGTGGATCAGAAGAACTGGACCGAGGCGCGTGACCAGTGTCGTCATCTTGGGAAAAACTACGACATCGCCAGTATAAGCAGTTATATCGAACAGGGTGAGTCATACTTGGGGGCATGGGGTTTCACCCGTTCACACTCTATGATTGGAACCATCGTGATGCATGTACACGTTGCAGGGGGGCACGGGTGGCCCAGTCGTCTAAGGTGCCGCAATCCGCTGTGAAGAATTGCGTCCTTTGAGCACGCCAGAAACCTATGATTGTCCGTTCGAATCCCGGTTCGCCGCGATTATGTTTAAAGGTTTGTCAGCACCATATCATTGCTCGTGGGTTTTACAAAAGTGGTAAACGTCTGAGACATGCATCACTTCGGGCTTTCCTCCCACATTAAGGTGACACGCCGAGATATAAGTGCAATACTGTTGAAGGCGGAGTAAAACCCTACTCACTCACACATCGCAAACTTGTGGAAGGTACCACCATCAACCTAGCTTACACGTATATGTGATTTTAGAGATTTTAGAGGTTTTTTTATTAAACATATGTCATTATAATTTCTTGCAATTGTTGTAATCTCTCTTCTCTCAGCGTTCTTGTTGATGCTAATGAAACAAGTTGGAATCACCTCCACCATATGGATCGGGCTGAACGACCAAAGCACCAACGGCCATTATGTATGGCAGGACAACACGGAAGTGACGTACACAAACTGGAACAAGGGCGAACCTAGCGACCGCTACACGTACTCGCATTACAACAGGGTGAGTGGGAGCGAGTGAGTTACACAGTATTCGGGCTACGTGTCAGCTTGGTGTGGGAGGTAGGCAGTCTTGGAAGTGCACCACATTAGTGAAGCCCGCTCAGTCACCAAGGCTTCCTCGAAAATGAAAGTCCGACAACTGGTTGTCCAGATCGAGTACCTTGTCTACCCCTCGAAAGCTATGAGCACACAGTGCCATTAAGAAAGTGGTCATATATAACAAATGTTATAATTGGGGTAACACTTCCTTTGTAAAGTACAAATTCTAGTACTTTAGTACCATCCGGGATTCGAATCCACGATCTCAGTGTGAGGCATCACACAAAAAGTACTCGAATGTATACTTTACTGGGGATGTGTGATCCCAAATACAACATTTGTTACATCTGACCACTTTCTAAATGACATTGTTAATTCATACCTTGTTTATCATTTACCACAATAGGAAACGGAGTTTGGCAACTGAGTCTGTCAATGTAATCAATTACCCACGCCGATTCGCTGTAAGGAAGTAAGATTGCCGAAATAACAGACATCGAAAGGGTTTGGCAAAATGCCTGGTGCCATGATGACGTTGTAGCTGGGAACATGGTAATTTATCCTGACGCGATTGACCAATACAATTCAAATATTTTTTAGCGTCAGCGTCACCTCCTTGTATCACGCACTCCTGATCATGATAAACCCACCACTGCATTGAACTTGGAGAATAGATGACAGTATCATTTACAAATCAAACGTGTTATTATACCAGTGGCCCATATACAGTGCATATGTACAAGTTGGTTGGTTGTTTTACGCCGCACTCAGCAGTATTCCATCTATATGACGGCGGTCTGTAAATAATCGAGTCTGGACCAGACAATCTAGTGATTGCCATCATGAACATAAATCCACGCAACTGGGATACGATGACATGCATCAACCATGTCAGCGAGCCTGACCACCCGACCCTGTTAGGAATTTAAATACTATTCAAGTGGTGTCACGTCGAGTCAGATTCATATTGGTCGTCTACACTCTAGTAGAACACGGATATGATTCTGACGGACCAAGGATCGTATTCGGGATTCGAACTCAGGACCAACAGGACTTCCCAGCTTCGTTGACCCAGAGTTAGGTTATTGCTTACGCCACACAAAAGAGTACTGACAGTAGTTGAGACAGCTTTCCTAAGGGAATCTTTAATTACAAAAGGGTGATGGGTGATTGTGAGTTCCGTATTTACTTTGCAGGAGGACTGTGTGAGTGTGCTGAGCCAGCAAGGAGTGGGACTGGGCCGCTGGAACGATGAAAAGTGTAGCGAGAAGAAGGCTTTCGTCTGTCAAACGTATAAAAGTAAGTTACATAGTTGTATGAGTTGTCGTCTTCTGAGGGGCGGTCAGGTAGCCTAGTGGTTAAAGTGTTCGCTCGTCACGCCGAAGACCCGGGTTCGATTCCCGACATGGGTACAATGTGTGAAGCCCATTTCTGGTGTCACCCGCCGTGATATTGCTGGAATATTGCTAAAAGCGGCGTAAAACCATACTCACTCACTCACTGTAGTTTTCTGGGAACATTCATTGTGTAATTACTGTATTTGGAAGGAATTTGTAACGCACAATAACGCATGCATCTTGTAGTTTGTTGTGTTGGACGGTTGAGACACACTTTAGCAGGTAAAGTGACGCTATCAACGTAGGTCGCTGCACATGCAGAAATCGTACATTGTTTCGGAGACTGTTCAGCCTAGTAACGTTTTGATGTTTTTGTGTGTACTTTCTTTTGCCAAGCAGTTTATATAAAGCCCGTGCTCTGTGTCCCAAGCCAATGTATCGCCTTAATATTTGTTAAACTGTTTTATAATGTCCATCGATTTGAAATATACATGATCAACTTTCTGTCTAATGTATGCTTCATCTAGTATTTGATTAATTTCATTACACACATAGCGTTTTTCCTCTCTGTTTGTCAACTGCAGCAACAACCCATGAACAGATCGCCGTCATGTAGCTGGAATGATGCTGAGTGCGATGTTAAACAAAAAACAACAACCAACCAACTGGTTAGAGGCAAAATGTGCAGATTGATATGTAGACGGATGACTATACATCAGTCATGACATACCGAACAACTATAAAATCACAAATGATGAAGAACGAGATTATTGTTTTCTCTTTGCGGATAAAACAGCTCAGCGTCGGTATTTTGACGGTTATTCCGGGGAACCTTAAGCGTTCGGCGTTAAACAACAAACAAACAAACTCAAGTATCTGTATCGTGATATATATTCTCCTAGGTACCTCCTATACGACCCCCACAGCCCAGACCACCTGTAAACCAGGATACCAACATTTCGGCACGAGCTGTTACCGTGTTGTGACGTCACCCGCCACGTGGCAGGCAGGACAGACGGCATGCCAGGCCGACCAAGGGAACCTTGTGTCCATCACCGACCTGTACGAACAGTCCTTCGTTGACACCATAGCCCATGTCGACAATGTCATGAGTGGCTTCTGGATTGGACTTTCTGATAAAAAGGTATGTTTAGCTGTTCCTAAAGTAAGCGTCAGGTCCAGCTTGTAGAACTGTAACCATCAAATGTACGTATGATTGTATGATCAGTGTGATTGTGATTGTGGAGAAGACGCGTACGCTTCCAGTTTATGCTCATTTCGCTCTCTTCGTAATTTAGTATTTGTTCATTTATAGGGGAGTCTGGTACTAATTTCCTGTCAAAGTCTGGACATTGGTTACATGTGTAAAGTAAATCATTAACTCTTAGTTTGTTATATATCATAATGTTGGACGGGGTTTGAGTAGCCCAGTCGCCTGGGGGCTGTAAGTTCGCTGTTCCTTGTTGCGTCTCTTCGACGTGCCAAAGAGTGATCCCAATGGCAAATGGCAAACTAATATAATTCGAAATTATTTAAATACTCGCGTCCTTGTCTGACTGTCAAATGAACCCCATCCATCCGAAATCAAAACACACTTACTCAGTCATATTATTTACGTTAACAGGGAATTAACTAGGTTGAATGACCTGGCTTTCTAGGATTGCCAATTGTCCAGAGCCTAGTTCACCTTCCTCAGTATTGTTCCAGTGAGGTGTCATCGGATGCCCTTCCATCTATGTCTGTTTCTTCATCTGCAGACTCCTGGTATATACGGGTGGTATGACGGTTGGCCTGTTCTATTTACACGGTGGGGTAAGGACGAACCGACTCGTAACGCCATGGAGGGGTGTGTGGCACAACAGAGCCTGACCTGGAACGACACCTTGTGTGCCCGGAGTCTCCCTTTCATCTGCGAAATAAGCTCAAGTATGTGTGCATAGTTATAATCGACATGTATTTGCTGAAATATGTGATCCAAATCTTTCTAAAATCTATTTATTATACAAGGTTACATGATTTCTGGACCGGTGAAGATCCGGGGTAGAATAGGTCTTCAGCAACCCATGCTTGTCGTAAAAACGACTATGCTTGTCGTAAGAGGCGACTAAGGGGATCGGGTGGTCAGGCTCGCTGACTTTGTTGATGCATGTCATTGTATCCCAATTGCGTGAATCGATGCTCATGATGTCAATCACTAGATTGTCTGGCCCAGATTCGATTATTTACAGACCGTCGTCATATAGCTGGAATATTGCTGAGTGTGGCGTTAAACAACAAACAAAACAAAGCAAAAACATGTTTTCTGATGCCATACTATATCGCAATTTGACATACAGAATGTTGATGTGTGTTTTTAACATGTGTTTAAATGTATACATTATTTCCTGTCTCCTGTATACAATTTAGAGAACAGTTCATATGATGACTTCATACACATTTCACTTCATTTCATTTCATTTCTTTTCAAATCGCCCTTGGACTGGTATAATAAACTGTCAGCAACAGAATGTATAAACCCATCTCTGGTGGTGGCTAAAAACGAAACCAAAATAAAAGGGTATTCGATGGTACGGGTGTCATAGTTGTTACACTAAGCTTACATTGTTTCGGAAACTGTTCAGCCTAGTTAAGGTTTAATGATGTTTTTGTGTGTACTTTCTTTTGCCAAGCCGTTTATATAAAGCCCGTGCTCTGTGTCCCAAGCCAATGTATCGCCTATTTGTTAAACTGTTAAATAATGCTCATCCATTTGAAACATACATGATCATCTTTCTGTCTAATGTATGCTTCATCTAGTATTTGATTAATTTTATTACACTCATAGCGTTTTTCCTCTCTGTTTGTCAACTGCAGCGACGCCCCCACCGACCACGCCCATTCCCCCCGGCTTCTGTCCCGACAGGACGTGGACTGCCCATGGCGACTACTGCTACTTCGCTGCCCCGAGTGAGCGGAAGTCGTGGCCAGAGGCCAACTTTCTGTGTCATGAGATGGGCATGGAGCTGATGACCGTTCACAGCCAGGCGGACCTAGACTTCATAAAAACCCTGCTTGAGACCCAGTCGACGACCCCTAAATACTCTTTCAGCTTCATCTTCAGCAAACCCAACGTGTGGCTTGGTCTTAGAAAATCCCAAGATGGTAAGCAATTGGATGAGGAAACGTTGCCCAATAGAAGGGGATGAGTTATCGCAAATTGGTAGGGGCACCGGCGACACAAACCCAGTTACCAACGATTCTTGTATGTAAAGGCAGGGATATTTGACTAGTTTACAAAGTGATCGTAGAGCTATGCCTGTCGGTACTCTCGCTATATAGGGTGGTTGGGAAGTCTGGTTAGAGCCTTCGTTCTTCACATTGAAGACCTACTTTCAAGAAATGCAATCCATTTCTTGTATATACCTGCAATGCTGCTAAAAGAGGCGTAAAGCATCACTCACTCACTTACCTTCGTTATGTAGGGAAAGGTAGGTGCAACGAAAGATGGTTTTAGATTTGGTTTAATAGCAGATCCTTCATTGAAGTAAATCAGAGGCGATTAGGACGAGGAAAAAGGTGTGTTGGAATTCTAATTTTCGGTGGCGGTGTGCGCGCGTGTGGTGGTGGGGAAGGGGTGCGTGCGTTCAGCCAGACAAGGATGAATATTTCAATAATACGAAAGTTGTTTAGCGTTTTGACATTGGGATCTATATTATAAAACGATGTGTGTTCGATCCGCATCTCCTTGCCTATTATTTACCTTGTCATATCATCGATGTAACTTCATGGTGCCAGCAGGCTTTGGTCGAACTGCCGACAACTCGATATATCGTCGATGGTTCCATGCACGTCGAGTTTCCCTGTATATAATTGTTGAACAAAAACATCTTACAGCGTCCTTGGCCATTTAGGGTAATGTACAAGCCATGTCCTCCTCACACCTAAACGTCACGCTAACGTTCGTTGTGCTTCAGAATAGCCAAACACGTCGATGAATGATGATAATATTCATTTATATGCCAGGTGTAGTGACAGAATATCTCAGGCTTGTGTTTTCGTACTTGAGAAAAAAACATTTCATGGGTTCAATCTGGGGGAAATATTTTATCATCACTCGCCAACAAGCCTAATATTCTGCGCTTGCTGTGGTGGGATTGTGTAGTTCTATCACACTCTAATTATTCCCAGGAGGGTTTAGATGGAATGACGGGACGCCAGCCAATTTCTTCAAGTGGGCGCCCGGGGAACCCTCCGACGTGAACGGGACGAACAAAGAGACTTGCGTGGAATACTACCGCAACACCTACACCTGGAACGACGTCTCCTGCTTCAACGACAGGTCGTACATTTGCCAAACAAAGAAAAGTAAGACATTTCACAGCTGTGTCGAACCTTTTCCAAACGCAATCAAACGCTCTCAGTTAGACCTCGTAGTCTGGTAGTCCCTTCTTCCAGACGATTACTTTAAGGAACGTCTGTTCATATTAAAAAAGGCATGATGGGTACTCGTAAATATTTGTCGAGAACTGCACCATTGGGATTATTAAGGTTTCGCTATCGGCGATTTTCTGGAACTAAATGCCCAATCCTAACTTTTCTATCGAAGTTGTGTTTATAGGTATCGAATTCAAGTCGATTATTTCTGACGAAAGCAACATTAGCAAAACCTGATATATACCTATTCGTCTGTCGTGCTTAATATACTACACATGGTCAGTATGTCGTTTGACATTTCAGCTGTCCTATTGATCATTACGATGGAAATATCAAAAGCTCCATATCGCGTATTATTCTTTTTGACGAGGGTTAATTGATAAGTTCTAAACCTAACAAGAAATTAGTTAAATCTTTTGGTGTGGACATTACATAATGTCTTAGAGGTATATCAACAAAAACCTGAGTCAATTGAGCAAAATTATTTCACTGTCACTATCAGCATGAGTCTGTGACCTTTGGAAAAAAGACAAAGTTTAGGGACGTGCAGCGATCAAGTACTTCTACTGGTGGGGGGGCACGGGTGGCCCAGTCGTCTAAGGCGTCGCGATTCGCTGTGCAGAGTTGAGTCCCTTGGGCACGTCAGAGACCTATGATTGTGGGTTCGAATCCCGGTTCGCCCCGATTATGTTTCTAGGTTTGTCAGCACTATTCCCGTGCTCGTGGGTTTCACCGAAGTGGTAAACGTCTGAGATCTGCATCACTTCGGGCTTTCCTTCCACATTAAGCTGATAACGCCGTGATATAACTGGAATACAGTTAAAAGCGGCGTTAAACCCAACTCACTCACTCACTCACTTCTATTGGTGTAAAAGGCAAAATAGTCGTGACAATCATATGAATCGATCACTAAAAATCATTGATGACACCAGGTGTTGAATGACATGCCCTGCACTACCGGGGCTCTCATAATTTGAAAAACGCAACGCCATTTGATTTACTAGGGCAATGCTGCTAACGATAATTAAACATTATCTCTTACTAACGGACAGCTCTAACTCATTGTTAGATGTGACCTTTTTATGTCGTGTCATATTGTCATATTTCCTTAGTGACACATGGCCAATACAATGCAGTCAAACACCATTGTGTCGATGTGTTGGCCCTCCCTGCGTATTCCTTTTTTCATCATTTTCGATTGTGTCGAACTTGTTCCCTGCGTATTCCTTTTTCATCTTTTTCGTTTGTTCCGAACCTCGGATAACTCGAATTATTACGTAGGTCCCTTCAACTTCGACACAACGTTTTTTCACTCTATGTTACCGGTAATCATGTCTTTTTCTGTCTTTCAACAGCTATTCCTTCAACAACCCCTTCTTCAACTACTACTACTACTACTACAACTACTACAACAACTACAACCACACCAATAACTACAAAGCTAGATACATTCAAGCCGAACTTTAACGTTGGTTCTTCTACACAATCGACCCGGATCATACCCCCTCCGATATCACGTCATGAGAAACTACACACAGGTATTGACAAATAGAGATCTTTATAGATGTGGTGTCCGTATGCAAAGGGATCCGTGAAGATCCGGGGTAGATGAGGTCTTCAGCAACCCATGCTTGCCGTAGAAGGCGACTATGCTTGTCGTGAGAGGCGACTAACGGGATCGGGTGGTCAGGCTCGCTGACTTGGTTTGATGCATGTCATCGATCCCAATTGCGTAGATCGATGCTCATGATGTCAATCACTGGATTGTCTGGTCCAGACTCGATTATTTACAGAGGGCAGTTATATAGCTGGAATATTGCTGAGTTCGGCGTTAAACACCAAACAAACAAACAATATGCAAAGGGACATTACCAACACAATTACACCAAATGTTATTATCTGGCTGTACGTCGGCAACGTAGTTTGGCAAGTTGTACCCACGAATGATGACACCAGCATTTGTTCAAGGGAACGCATTTTGTTTCCAGTATGGCCGCTACGGAAGCCATATTAAATACCACATTACTGACCCACCATTTAATATTCGAGGGGGCTGTAATTTTGGTGAGAGTCAGAATATGTTTTTCACAAATTATTTGCTCAAGACATCCAGTTGTAATAGGGAGGTGGGGGTGGGTGGCAATAACGTGAGGACATATTGTCTTTTTCCGTATTTTCTGAAACAAAGCTCTTGGAATCAAAGCACAGGGTCAATACCAATGTGTCTTTGTGGAAACACTTTCTCAAAAGGTATTTATGTAATTATCACCCAATATATGACACCTCTTGGACGACACTGCAAATAAGTTGAATCACTCGCGACAATACTTGTAGTTAAACGTTTGTGTTTGTGCTAAACCAAGAAATGAGTTTTGGGCAAAAGAAAATTTGAAAGTCCATGGAAAGTGGTTGCAAATTTCCAACTACAAAATTATTTGTCTGCCTCAGTAGAAACCCACGAAAACAGCATTTAGAAACTTATTTTGATTGGAACAGCTCACAGGAGACTTTCAGATCAGGTGGGTTTTCAGAATTAACACAGGACACATCTTACTGCTTTGTTGCATGTATGAATGACAAATGTTTCAAAGTCCCAGCGGTCCGCCTCTGTGGTCTGGTGGTAGAGCGTCCGCCCGGAGAGCGGAAGGCCCGGGGTTCGAGAATACCAAAATATGTGAAAAGAATGGTCATTGTTGTTACCCTGCCTGGCGATGTTTGTTAGCCCGGCCAGACCGTGTAAAATTTTGACGACGTGAAACTACATTCACTCACTCACTCACGTAATCTACACCACCTGGGGCGGTCGGGTAGCCTAGTGGTTAAAACGTTTACTCGTCACGCCGAAGATCCGGGTTCGAATCCCGACATGGGTACAATGTGTGAAGCCCATTTCTGGTGTCCCCCGCCGTGATATTGCTGGAATATTGCTAACAGCGGCGTAAAATCAAACTCACTCACTCACTCACTCTACACCACCCACTACTCTCTCCGTTCTTATTCTAGGCGCAGGTCAGGATCTCACGGGCGGCCAGATAGCTGGGATATTGATCGGAGCAGCCGGTCTCATTACCATCATCATAGTCATCGTATTTATCTTACGGCGTCGACGTGCACCTCCGCCCTCCTCGCCGACGTCAGGGTTTGACAACGCCCTCTACAGCAAGGATGCAGAGAATGTGTCCATGTCCAATGGGACAAACAAGAACAGTGTGTATGTGAGTGGGGTACCGTCGGGGGAATGCTGACAGTGACGGCCGACGCTGTTGATGGAACTATTTTGAATAAGCAACGCCGAAATAAGGTTATATTAAACTAACTTCGATAGGGTTGACATGAGACGTTTTTTTTGTCATTACATGGACTACTTTTAATGTTGTCATAGAACAGTTCGAGCCCTTTACGTTTTTCATCTACAACTTAACAATTCTCTGGAGTTTTATATCCCCCCGAGAACATCAGATACAAGATTTAATACTATCGGCTTAACGATGACGTTTGAGATTTTACGAGTGCTTCCGATGACCCTGATTTCTCACAATGACCAGCGTTCATTTGCCAAAACCAAATGTACTGATACGAGAGTGATTGTGTATGGCTTTATGCCGCTTTTAGCAATATTCCAGCAATATCAAGGCAGGGAAATGATAAATGGGCCTTAAACATTGTACCCATGTGGAGAATTCAACCCGGGTCTTCGCCCTGACAAGCGAACGCCTTAACCATTAGGCTTCCCCACTGCCCCCTGAAATATAAATTCCTGACAGAGATGGTTAGTGACTTATACCCAGAAGGCAAATATATAGGTATATCTGTCTACAATGAGTATTTTTAAGAAAATAGTTTTATACCAAGATATTTAAGGGTGATATTACGTTAATTTGTTTTACGGTATGTTATTAATATTCATTGTTATGAGGGCGTTATGAAATAGTTTAAGATGTAGATAAAGACTTGAAAAGGGGATTGAAAAAACGGCAAAATAGAACAGGTATGTTGTGCTTGTCAAACAGTATTGATTTAGACATTCACATTTTCACATTTAATTGTTTTTCGTTGTGTACTGTCAGACAATATGCCTGACTCTTGAACCTGGTATCAATCTTGGTATGCTACTGTTCATGGTTAGGAGTGTGATTTTGGAGAATGGTTGGGAATTACCAAACAGGACAATTGTGAAAACAATTAAGTGATAATGGTACATAAAAACATGTCGTTTTTGTGGAATGGTTTCAATTTTGTTAACAATGTTTGTGACAATGGAAACATTTTCTCATAATCGTAAGTTGTATCAAGACAGAAAGTCCATTTAATGTTCACCTGCTTTTTTATGTCCAGATGAATTTAATCTCACCACCTACGTTTTCAGTGTCAATCATCATGTACCTTATCAGCAATCATCACACCCTCTTTCAGTATCAGTTGTATTCCCAGATACATGGTGGTGTAAATAATTCCTTTATTAGTCATACGGTAAGTGTTAAATTGATTCTATTTTCTACAGTCCCGAACTAGCACCGACTGTGTCACGGAGAAGCATACCACTGGGGCGCTCAGCCTGAAGCACTCCTGACGTGTCCAGATAGACATAGTATAGTACCTCAAAGGCACCTATCATTTGATAGGAGGTATCGTACGGGTATAAATGTTGGACATGGTCTTAGTATTGAACATGCTGAGAAATATATGTTCCATAAAAAACATACGGTTCCTGCTTTCAAATAAAAATATTGTATATCTTATCATATCTTATTTTAATAATAATAATAATAATAATAATAATGATAATAATAATAAAAATAAAAATAATAATAAAATAAAAGCGACAAAACCATTTCCATATTCAATAGAAACAGTGACCAAAAAGCCTTTTGAAAAAAATAGAAAATCCCTCCCACTTATCAATGAAGTGGGTTTTTTTTATTAAATGGAATTGTCCTCAATGTCTCACTCAGTATGAATAACCCAGGCTCTGAATAGCGATGTTTTACATTATACTATTAAAACTAAGTTGAGGATTTCTTACTTAATACTGAACTTAATCTGTCATGGCATATGACTGCCACATACTAGGAACATTGTTTTTTACATTATATATGAAGGGTCGGAGTGAGGAGAATCCGTTTTTTCTTGTTCTGTATACAAAAGTTCGGTAGAAGAAAAATACAAATTATTAGTATATACCTCCCTGGTGAATATATCATTTCACATCGGCACCCATCGCACGTGTCATTCTTCTGTGCATATTAACAAGGGTTATGTTGCACGTGGGCGAGTGAAAGGTCGTGGTATAAACGAAAGTGTAAATACCGAATGAATGTGAACATTTTCCTGTGCATTCCCTGAAGGACCAAACCAATAACCCGTCTGTGTTTGTGTCATTCGTTTCCAATTTGTGAACAATTTCAGTACTCACGAATAGCTCCCCTTTTGTAAATTTCTAGCTAGATTTGCATGAAACGTGTAACACCTGTCACGAGTTTGTCCATCAAGTTCTCGAAACCTTTTGTAAGGGGGATAACTCTTGATAACCACAAAGAGCCATCGTCCAATTTTTATTCGATATTAGATGCAGACGGGTGACTGTTCCTAGCGTTATAGATATTTAGTTCGGAGCTTGTTTTTCTTTGCATTGTACATAGCATTTAACTTACTATTTTATATCATTAACATTATTCTTTATGTACATTTATTTCCTTGGAAACTTTGTATGTTATTCTCTTATTAAAGACATGGATTCTGTTGTTGTCTGTTTGTTTGTTTCATTGTTAACGCCGCGTCAGCTATATAACGGGTCTGGCCTGACAATCCACCAAGTCAGAAAGATACTTTACCCTGACGGCACTGATCATACTATCGGCCGTTGGTTTTCCCTAGCCACATTCGGCTATATACATGCCACCGTGAAATAACTGGAATACTGCAAACAACAAACCAGGGCACACAATCAACGAGTAACTGCCCCATCTTTATTTTAGGTCGTCACTTGGGCGATTTGGATCTTTTCAGCCCCAAAACGTTCTAACCCCTACGAAAATATAACTGTTATGGTATAACGTTCTACAGGCATGACGTAATGTGTCGACAGGACACGATGGAGCTCTTTGTCGCTGTGTTAGACTGACACTAAGTCTATGGAGACATTTCTTCAAAAATAATTGTAATTTTGTTCTTCAAAAGAACCTTTCCTCTTCTGCTGTTCAATGAAACAAGACTTGGCTTAGTTTGATCTAGACTTGCCTAGGCTTTAAGTAACATATATACTCTCTCTCTCTCTCTCTCTCTCTCTCTCTCTCTCTCTCTGTATATATATATATATGTGTGTGTGTGTGTGTGTGTGTGTGTGTGTGTCGATAGTCATGGTGCAGGACAATAGTTATGCAAACGCCAGTCATTCCGGCATGCTTTAAAACACGTGAACAGCAACGAAATAATTCGCAACGAAAATTGACTAGGAATTACTTGGAATTGTCAGTATTATTTTTAAAGTCTACCTGTCGTCCTACCTCCGTTACCTCATCACTTGTGATTACATTTGTCCACACAGCTGTGTATAAGAGACCTGTGGCTATTCTTAGTCACCTGAGGAAAACTTAAAACGCACTGATGTCAAATGAACTCTGCACTGCGAATCAAGGCGCCTAAGACGGACGACTGGGCCACCCGTGCGTTGGATAAAGTATGGATCGTACAATCGAGATTTCTTGTGGCTAGGAATAGGGTTTTGTCGCTTTTATTTTGGTAACGCTGGATTTCTTTGAGAAACGTTGGATTGCAAATGAATAACGTTGTTAGGTTGTCGCGGATTGGGTTGGATAACGTTATGTTGTCGCGGATTGGGTTGGATAACGTATTGTTGTCGCGGATTGCGTTGGATAACGTTAGGTAGCCGCGAATTGGGATGAATAACGTTATGTTGTCGCGGATTGGGTTGGATAACGTTAGGTAGCCGCGGATTGGTTTGGATAACGTTATGTTGTCGCGGATTGCGTTGGATAACGTTAGGTAGCCGCGGATTGGGTTGGATAACGTTATGTTGTCGCGGATTGGCTTGGATAACGTTAGGTAGCGGTGGATTGGGTTGGATAACGTTAGGTTGCCGCGGATTGCGTTGGATAACGTTAGGTAGCGGTGGATTGTGTTGGATAACGTTAGGTAGCGGTGGATTGTGTTGGATAACGTTAGGTAGCCGCGGATTGCGTTGGATAACGTAAGGTAGCGGTGGATTGTGTTGTATAACGTTAGGTAGCGGTGGATTGGGTTGGATAACGTTAGGTAGCGGTGGATTGTGTTGGATAACGTTAGGTAGCGGTGGATTGGGTTGGATAACGTTAGGTAGCCGCGGATTGTGTTGGATAAAGTAAGGTAGCGGTGGATTGTGTTGGATAACGTTAGGTAGCGGTGGATTGTGTTGGATAACGTTAGGTAGCCGCGGATTGCGTTGGATAACGTAAGGTAGAGGTGGATTGTGTTGGATAACGTTAGGTAGCGGTGGATTGGGTTGGATAACGTTAGGTAGCCGCGGATTGCGTTGGATAACTTTATGTTGTCGCGGATTGCGTTGGATAACGTTAGGTAGCCGCGGATTGGGTTGGATAACTTTATGTTGTCGTGGATTGGATTGGATAAAGTTAGGTTGACTTGGACTGTGTTGGATAACGTCGGGTTGTTTTAGATTGAATTGATTTAGATTGTGCGGGGCAGTATGTGATAATATACAGGATGCCTCTAAATATTCAAGTTCGGTGGAGTAGTCTAGTGGTTAAAATGTTTGCTCGTCATGCTAAAGGCACGGGTTCGTTTCCCACGTGTGTACAATGTGTGAAGCCCTTTCTTTTCGCCTCCTGTCGTGATATTGCTGGAATATTGATAAAAGCGGCACACACTCATTAAGATATTCCAAAAGGAGGAAAGTATGCTTGGGAGAAAATTACGACGTCAGATCCGTCTATGTTGGAAAGTTTTGGAATTAAAGCCAGTCCAGCTGAAGTAGCATCCAAAGTGTATTCCACTTTTTTTTTTCTCAGAGTTGCGTCCCTTGGGCACGCCAGAAATCTATGTCCGTGAGCTCGAATCCCATTTCGCCCCGATTATGTGTCTTGGTTTGTCAAAACCATCGTGGGTTTCGCCGAAGTGGTAAACGTCTGAGACCTGTTTCACTTCGGACATTCCTCCCACATTAAGCAGACACACAGTGATAAAACCGGAATTCTGTTCAAAGCCTTATAAAACCCAACTCACTAACTCACTCACTCACTTGCTCATATTGTTTCCCCAGACTCAGTCATAGAATACATTTAGAAAACCTGCTTGCAATATTTATTTCCCTATCTTAATAAAGGAACACAAGACGTCATCCGTTGACTATATTTTATTTCAACAAGCGTAGAGAACAATACTATTTGTACAAACATTTATCATCACATTGGAATTCACAACCGTGGAAATTCTATAGTGTTTGAAACAGTAACATTATCAGCTGTCAGAAACAAATACCGCCCACGTGACTATCTACACGTCACGTGTCACATTGAGCAGTCTACCTGAATGACGCCACGGTCTGAGAGCACACGGTAGCAGCGGGGCGAGTCTGAAACGGCGGGGTACAGTAAGGCAACGGAACACATGATACACCGCTACTGATGCCGCGGGGACTTGAACCAATGAGGGAGGTGGTCGGGTTAAAAGTGCTTTAACGTCGCGTTCAAAACTATTGCACGTATATAGTATGCGCGCGCGCGCGTGCGTGCTTGCGTGTGCGTGTGTGTGGTGTGTGTGTGTGGTGTGTGTGATGTGGTGTGGTGTGGTGTGGTGTGGTGTGGAGTGGTGTGTGGTGTGTGGTGTGTGTGTGTTTGTAATGTCCTTTTTATAGTGCTTGCCCACTGAGCAACAATGACACAGCTTTAACACGGATACCACTCTGACACTGTTTACTCCGAGCCGACCAGTCCCTTAATGCCGAGCGACAGGCAGGGTAACAATAAGTACCGCCTGTTGTTATGACACCGCCAGGGATCGAACCACCGAGCTCCCGCTCTCGGGTCGGACGCTCTATCCACTACACCACGGAGGCGGTCTGAACAATAGCAGACAGCCCTGTGGTACTGTTAGGTATATATAGTACACGGGAAAGTTCAACTGTATACATTGTGTCTAAATTTGAATACAGGAAAGTAGAGGTACACTTTGTATGCTACTATGAAGAAAAGGGATTCTGAGTATTGTGAAGACAAATAGTTCCATGACAGGTCTAATTTTAATACAGGAAAGTAGAGGTACAGTTTGTATGCTACTATGAAGAAAAGAGATTCTGAGTATTGTGAAGACAAATAGTTCCATGTGTTCCAGGTTTATTCAATGTGTGGAACAATTAAGGAGAGTATATCTTCAATGTCTATACGTTATAAAGGATATAGATATAGTTGTCCATATATAATCTTATATTGTACATACTACGTGCAGTATTGTAAGAAATGGTATTATTCAAAGTGTTCAGAATAATGAAGAAGGGGGTAGTTTCATTCAAAATGTATAATGAAGAAAATCCATCTGTTTTATTTAATGTGTATGACCTTATGGAGACTAATAGTTTCATACACTGTTTAGGGTAAATAGACAGTAGATGAAGTGCGGTCAGTACAATACAATGCAGTAGTTTTATACGGTGTCTATATTTATAAAAGAGATATGTAAGAATGATGTGTAGAATCTTATGAAAAACTAGTTTTTTATTCATAAGTTTTATATATGGAACTTTGTTTTATTCAATATGTTGGGTATTATGGAAAAAAATAGTTGCATACAATATCTCAATTATTATGAAGAGCGTTGTTTTATTCAATGTGAATAGAATTATGAAAAAATAATTAAATACAATATCTAAATTATTATGAAGGCGAGTATGTTTGTTCAGTGTGTATATTATAACGTAGAAGAGTAGTTTTATGAGTCTAACGTAGTATGCAGTAGAATAGTAACTGTTTATACATCGTATATATTATTGCTGTATATAGTCTTTAGAAGTAAACAATATAGGTGTATATTAAATAGTATCTAGTATTTTTATAATGTACAGTGTAGTATGAATATACCTATCTTAATGAACAACGCAAAGGCGCCTTGTGCAGATTCAAGCCCCATGAGCGCTATATCCTACTTCTCCAACAAGACACACTACCACCGCGAAGTGTACATAATCACTATGGCGACGGTCAGCGAGAGCAGAATAAAATGGCATGTCATTAACAGACTTCTTACCGAAAAAAAGCGAAAAACGATAAGATCCATCATAGCTTATAATTCGTATGAAAATAAAACCCCGATTAATGCACATTGACGTCAACAGCAACATGACGGTATCGAACGTGGTAATCGTTGATGGCACACAGAATTTGGATACTAACACATGACATTTTGAGATGGTTTCACAAATGCGGATGGTCTTAAAATACGCCATGACACACGTCTCGAAGTGGTGTAAGATTACACACAATTCATGGGACAATATGTACATCAATATTACAACAATGAAATAACATCATGATCTATGTCTACGGGACTATATCGAACTAACATAGGAAAAGCTACCCTGCTATTCACAATACGATATGTATGAAAACCGTGTGATCACCCTGTTGCATAAACGTAGTCCTTCAGAACACAAGTACAATACTAAAGACGTATGACACAGTTAACTCCCTCTGCAAATGTTCCGTTCAGGTGAAGTTTTAACTCAACCGTGTTGTCCATGGAGGTGTCATAGCCGGGAATAGATATCTTATCTTAATATCGTGACCTCGACAACACATGGGAGATATCTTCTCACAAATATTCCCACTGCACGATTCAAATTAGACTCAAAAGCATAACCTCTCCCGTCGTTGTTGTCACCAGCAAATTAAATACACTCTCTTAACACTCTCAGTGTCATGTCAATTTTGGTTACTAATAAAAATCATTAACAGAAACGAAAGTTTTGAACTACGTGTGTGAAATGCCGTCTTGCAGCTAGTAACACCACTTTTTGGTGCAAGCCGGCTTCAGAATTCCCAAATAACTAAAGCCTTTTCCGTTTTCAGATACAGCTATCTTGGATCGTGGTACACAACCCGTCCTCTTGTCTCTCCTCATTCTCAGTCCTGGTCCTTGAAGAGCAGGTGCCCGGAGAACGTGGAGTACATGTAGCCATGGATGTACGACGCTCGGGACAACAGCACCAGCCATACCTGGTCCCCGCGGGACAAGTTCAAGATGGCCGAGTTGGAGGCGGACGCCCAGTAAGGAATGCTCTCGGCCCAAACTGTCGCCACCATTTCACCCTTCTTCATCAGGTTAACCGCAGCCTGTTGAGACATGAAATGAGATGCGTTGGATGAAGATATATTATCAAGAAGACTACCACCACATTTTATTACACCTTTGTTCACATGTCCAATGTGCATTGTGCTTCCGTGGGATTCTCCAAACCCCAAAGGATTTGCTTGAATGTTTGCAATCCCATAAAGAACCAATTTAGTGCTGTGCAAACGTCTGATTGTTTAACTTTGTACACCTCTAAGAAAAGGAAAAAAATAATTTCTTGATCCATGTGGCATATTTGGCACTAAACGTGATGACCAGGGAAAGGGTTACATCTCTATCTTTAAAGGTTCGATTCGATTTTCTTTCCACAAATGAGAGCAAATGTGGTTTACTGAGATAAATTGTTTTTACAATACTCGAGTTCCTCGTAGATAACATTCATGTGGAGTTTGCAGGTAGGACATTTAGATAAGAAGTAGGCATCCGTTTGGGGACAATGTGTGTTCCCTTCCATGCTAACATGCTTCTTTATGCATTTGGATCGGAATGTCTGCTCGAACTGGCAAAATCAAAATACGGGAATTTGGCCAAGAAGTTTTATATATAATGAGGTATATCGATGATCAATAATGGTCAAATAGCCAATTCCCTTCCAATGATCTACCCACGTGAACCAGAAAGAAAATGAGTCCCGTGAAATCGCCCCATCTGTTTCGGATTCAGAGCTATGCATAAAGATTTTTAAAAAGTCTATCCACAAAACTGTATGACAAGAGGGATGACTTCAGCTTTCCAATTGTCAACTTTATGTCGAGCAATATTCTAGCAGCTCCAGCCCTTGGTGTCCAGATTTCACAATTTTGTAGGTACAATCGAGCATGCTCTTTCTACGGAGATTTCAAAGAGCATCATACGACTCCTGCTCAAACATTGTATTATCAGGGTTACAGCATTGAAGGCCTCAGTAAAGCTTTCAAAAGGTTTTATGGTAACAAATGGAGGAAGTTGACGCATCAGTGACCACAACTACATCCAGTGTAGTCCCCTGTTTAGACTTGTTCATATGTTCCATTGGATTTCTTCAGGTAAATATTTGATTTGCTTTTGCATGTGTTTTTTCACGAGGTCAACCAGTGCGACAGGATACTCTCTCCTTTTTACGAACACCTTGTATCGTCACTATTTGATTGTGATTCATAAACGCATGCTTATAATATAGTCGGAATCGTACATTGGACCCTGCCTTCAGTGGAGATCTTTTATGACTATGGAAGAGTTTTGTCAAGGTTTTTTAATTTAAAATCCTTGTTAGATGTTGGAGTCGCAGATTCGCCCCGTTTATGATCTTTGGCCGACATGACTTTACTACTGCTCATTGGTTTGATATAAACGGTAAACATCTTTTACCTTGTCACCTTGGGTTTGCCCCCACATTGAGATTAATGTGTTTTGTTTACCGCTGCACTCAGCAATAACCCTGCAATAGGACGGCAGCCTGAAAACTAATCCAGTGATGGATATCCACGCTATTGAGATGATATGACATGCAATCAAAGAAATCACAGAACAGACCACCAGATAAACTAAGTCGCCTCCATCAGACCAGCATAGGTTGCTTGGATCTTCATTGTAACACGGAATCCCCACGGGTAAAATGCGTCGTATAACGGACACCCTGTACAACGTCGACGTCACTCTTGTCTTTGAAACAAATTGGCACTCGTCTGGAGTACATAGAGTCATAAATGGAGCAGTGGTGACCAATCTGACCCTGGAATGTCCTCGACGAGTAGGTGCCAAATAGCTAATGACAATGAGTGAGACAGTATGGTTGTACGCCGCCTTTAACAAAATTCTAGCAATATCACGACGGGGGACAGCCGAAATAGGCTTCACATATTGTACCCATGTGGGGAATCGAACCCGGGTCTTCAGCGTGAGGAGCGATCGCTTTAACCACTAGGCTACCCGACCGCCCCATCTCATGACAACGAGAGATAACATGAAGGTAACGCAGATGGTAAGCGCTTAGTGGAATATGGTCATTCACGTAGGATAATACACGGGACAAATCTAGATTACCCATAACAAGAATGATTCTGGCAGCATTGGGGGTGTTGTACTGTAGGGCTAACCTTGCTAACCTTGCTTTTACATGGAAGAACAGGGCTTCGTGACATCACATGCAAGTAACAGTGTTGTAGGGTAGACAGGATCAGAGTATTTTGTAACAAATATAAATTCGTTATGCTGTGTGGTAATACTATTGACTTCTACTCACTGTGTCTGCTGGCATATCTACGCAGCGACAACACTGTCCCTCTCTTTGTGTGTCTATCGGTCTGTCTGTCCCCATCTGTCCGAGAGTGTCGTTACTCACCCTCTGTCTCCCCTGCGCGGCGACGACGATGTTGAACATGTAGGTGCCGTTGTAGGGGGCGGTGTAGCGGCCGGATTTGGTGTCGAAGTCCCCTCCGACGTTGGTTATGATTTTGTCGAAGAGCAGGTCGCTGTTCTGCTTCACCGGACCACGGTTGTTCTTCAGACCCACGAAGAACGCTGTTCGGCCGGGCAGTGGGGCATCCTTACCTGAAACCAGCATTGACAACATTATCACACAGGATTCCACGCGTGCCACAATGAAAGACAAACGTAACCCAACTTGGATTCCTGTCAGCGGTTTAAAACGTAAAACCGATGGACAACCGATGGCGCTGTACAGTTTGGGAGTACCACATGGTCAGACTACATAAAAATGGAATATTTTGTCAGAAGTAGATTGTTTGTTGTGACACTTGACGTCCGCTATTCTGCTGCACTACGTCACATGTAAAGAACCTGTTGCTACATACATGTACGTGTGTTACTCATAGAACTTGCTTCAATGTTCGTGATTTACTCATAGAACTTGCTTCAATGTTCGTGTTACTCATAGAACTTGCTTCAATGTTCGGTGTTACTCATAGAACTTGCTTCAACGTTCGTGTGTTACTCACAGTACTTGCTTCAATGTTCGTGTTTCACATAGAACTTGCTTCAATGTTCGGTGTAACTCATAGAACTTGCTTCAACGTTGGTGTGTTACTCACAGTACTTGCTTCAATGTTCGTGTTACTCATAGAACTTGCTTCAACGTTTGTGTGTTACTCACAGTACTTGCTTCAATGTTCGTGTTACTCATAGAACTTGCTTCAACGTTTGTGTGTTACTCACAGTACTTGCTTCAATGTTCGTGTGTTACTCATAGAACTTGCTTCAATGTTCGGTGTTACTCATAGAACTTGCTTCAACGTTTGTGTGTTACTCACAGTACTTGCTTCAACGTTCGTGTTACTCATAGAACTTGCTTCAGTGTTCGGTGTTACTCATAGAACTTGCTTCAACGTTCGTGTGTTACTCGTTGAACTTGCTTCAATGTTTGTGTGTTACTCGTAGAACTTGCTTAATGTTCGTGTGTTACTCAAAGTACTTGCTCCAATGTTCGTGTTACTCGTAGAACTTGCTTCATTGTTCGTCTGTCACTTGTAGACTTCAACGTTTTTGTGTTCTCAAAGCTCTTGTTTCTATGTTCGTGTGTTAGTCACAACCTGCTTCAGTGTTCGTGCTAATCATACAACTGCGATGTCACTTGCGATTGAATTGCGTCATATAAACTGGTTGCAATTAACCTTGTGATACCGCAACCATGAATTAATGTGTCATTCGGTACATGAACATGATGATATACATGCATCACTATGACACTGAACACATCATTCAGAATGCACTCAACTGGAAGATATATATAGCACAATTGGGTCAAGTGAGATTCACTATTTCTTGGTCCCAGTCCCTCATTAATCAAACCTATCATATAACTTGAAAGTCCCAGGTGGATAGATGCTGACTATATTGATTCTCATCTGTATCTGTAAACTAACACTGCAGACCAGCGTTATATGCAGGGCATCAGATGACAGCTCTCCATCCAGGCATACACAACCCGACCAATAGATAGGGAAGAAAGACGTATTGTCTTCTGGTAGCGTTAAGAAATCAACTGTCCCTATAACGACCAGTGATTTATATATGATAAGACTGATGGCAAGATATGATATATAGCCATCTAGTCAGGGTTGGTGATATATACACACCGAGAATGATATAAAAACAGATTGATATGTACACCGAGAGTGATATATACATACCGAGAATGATATACACAGGTTGATATTACACACCTAGAACGTCATATACACACCGAGAATGATATAAAAACATTGATATGTTCACCGAGAGTGATTTATACATAACGAGAATGATATACACATATTGATATGTACACACCGAGAACGACATATACACACCGAGAATGATATAAAAAACAGATTGATAGGTACACCGAGAGTGACTTATACATACCGATATTTACATACACAGATTGATATGTACACAGAAAGTGATATATACACAGACTGATATATGTACGGCGGGATATACACTGTTTACACACAGGCATTAATGTGTGGTTCTCTTTAGTTCTTGTATATTATTCTTATAGGTATGTAGGATTGTTCGTTATGGGGGAATGAATACGATCAAAGCCATATCAAGTGGCATGGAGGCAGATAACGACACATGCTGCAGTACATAACAATATTTCAGCCATTACTGCGAAATCATCAAATGAAACACAACATGCAAGTATGCGATGAGAATATATCTGTACTATCATTTAAAAAATATTGATAATATTGATATTGACCATTTGATAATATCGCCTCTTTATGAATCTGTTTTAGTAACAATATCGGATTATAAGTATCAACCCATTGTTGCAAGCCATCGATGCGTCGAAATGCAAACGAAAAATCGCTATCTTCAAAACACTCAGTCAGGCCTACAAAGAGTCGTAAGTTGCAATCGTTGAGTAAATTGAGGGAAAGGACGATTCAACTAAGAAACTGTTTATCCAATGCTGTGATGACTCACAGACACATATGACCAAAATGACTTACACAGGCCAATCTCGTGTGACAAACACTCCGAGAAACGTGTACATGCTGAAACATGACCTCATCAGGTCAGAGTCCAGAGATCCTGATCGTGGTATCAACCAGACTTTTAGCCGTCTCTGGTTCCGAAATAGAACACTAAACAACCATTAAGATATTAATTCTCGTCACTAAACGCATCAGGAATTCTGTACATTAATTACATTTTATAGCAATCAAATACATTAAGTCTACCAAAAGACTTGTCGCTTCAACTTTTCTTCACTTATGACATATGAATATGAATACACTAGAGTATTGCCACTCTTAATAACTATCTTACACCGCCTGTCATGCGCAGACTACCTCTTCCCGTGAACTCAGACATACAAGTAAGTGTCCGTTGACAGACAAACTGATGCAAGGTAGGTGCATAAAAGTTAGGACTAGACTGTTACGTGTACGCATTTTAATTGCTCCTCGAAGTAACTGCATTTACAATCAACCATCATGCGCATTCACAGAGCACTTGCAATCTACCCCTTACTGCGAACGGACTTGTTACAGACAGATCGCATTTATCTATGATTTCAATAGTGCACTAAAGTTAAGAATTAATGCTTTAAAGACTCATTTGATTATTGCAATTAGACGTCTTTAAGTAACAGCCCAACAATTGTTCGATATAAGAGCCTTGTCGCCACACTAACGCTCAGTCCATTGGGAATATCCCTGTGTCGTCAGCCTGTCGCACGTAAGCGCCTTTTTAGCTGAATGTTTTCTGGAAATATTTCATACTAGCCATTAAGTAATCGATGAATTTGATCCCAGGTTTCCGGTACAATTTGCCGGCTTCTTCTCTGCAAATAGCTATCGTGAAGATATTGGCTGCGTCACGTGATATCACGAGGAAGCAATTTCATTGGTTCTTCCTGACACACCCAGCGAGGCCAGAATAATGTCTTAGCGTATCTTACTTCAAGGTACTTCAACAGCTACAAAGTTATTGAAGAAGGCCGTAGTACGAAATGACTCTACTTCTTGATTCACGTATCTCATAGCAAAAGGCAGTGTGGGAGGAAAGATTGTATAACTTTATTATTTAGCAAATGTTATATCTGGGATAACACTTTAGTAAAGTTTACATTCTCGTACATTTTTGGGTTGCCAGAGTGAGGCATCTAATTGCCAGCACACAAAGTGAGCGATCTAACCCAGTTCGAATCCCGGACGGGATTCAACCACAAAAAAGTACGAGAATCTGTACGTTACTAAGAAAGTGTTATCCCAAATACAAATATAACATTTGTCAATAAAGTAAAAAAAATCATTGGATTTATAAATTAGGACTAGATCAGGTTTGTTGTCCTGGATACGTCTGAGGCTTAATACGGGCCTATTCCAAAGGAATTTGTACATTTTCCATGACGCCCTCTACATATTCCGGGTCGTACCATAGATGGACCTCTGTGTCAAAACCACAGGCTTTGCGAAAACAGTAATAAAAGGATCGAGTCACTCCATCATGTCGCTTAAGATACAGTAACTGTGTTTGTACCAACACAAAGTGTTGGACACTCCCATTTAATTCATTGCAAAATCTACATTTCATATATAAATTTTGATGCAAAATCACACATTGACGGTTTCGAGTTGGACGTGACTGGTCCTGAGCAGCAAACAGAAAGCCTGTTTCACTTTTTTCAGGCTAGTCGACTTCATCCAAGCAAAGGACTATGCAGGGTTGCTGATGCTCTCAACACACTGCACACACACTCTGAGTGTGATATGGCACTTCGCTTGGTTGACACTTATTTCTGTACCGTCCAGCAGTACAGAACCATCAACAAAATCAACATTGACATTACGATTTCCCACATCCTTGGCTCGTTTACAAAAACTATGGAATGCCTTGTTTTCATCGCTGAAATGAGTCCTGACATGCTTCACAAGATGATCATCAGACAAATAATACAATTATCTCATGAAGAGCCTCCACGTTAATGAAACCATACCCTCCCATTATAATTGGTAAATATAAGCGATTTAGGGAAGAGCGAGGGGGGTATGATCTGCCATGATTCTTCGTGTGAGGGTGTCAATACCCTGAATTTCTAGTTTCGTCCAATCAACAACACTAAAAAATACGAAAGGACGGGGATAGCATAAGTTTTTGTGGCTTTGACTAAACTCCGCATTTTCTTTATTCTACATTTGTAGTCTGCCCGAAGTTTGACCTTGATATGGACATTCTGGAGTTTGTCTCTAACCTGCATCGGTAAGTACGTACATGTATTAGCCTGACCTGCCACGAGATGGTCAATAACTCCTCTCCAAGGTCAACTGGACTGCCACGTTTAAGATGCAGAATGTTGCATTTGTTGAGCCCAAAGGACGAGCCAATATCATTACAAAAGGACTCGACAAGGAGTTTTTTTTCAGTGTGGATTCTCCTTTGACAGGAAGTCAAGGTTATCCATGTAAAAGACGTGAGTAAGAGGTGTGAACCCACATTGGTGCGTTAAATGAAGAAGGTAGACATATATATGTATGTATATGTAAGTACGTTTCGGGATTGACTGGAGGCAAGGGTGTCCCTATCGAAAATGGTGCTGCAATTCACTGTTCAAATCTGCGTAGCTTCCTTGGAATCACAGTGACTTTTATCTTTGGTTTATCAGCACCATACCCGTGCTTGTGGGTTTTACAAAACTGAAACATGTCCAGGTCCTTCAGGATTTACTGAAATACTGTTTAAAGCGGAGTAAAACACAACCAGTCGTTTACTGACTGGTTTGATTAAAGGGTTATGTGTAAATGTTACGACAAAAGGCAATGTCCACGATATCGTCACAAGCTGGGTAAATAATATTGGTTCCAAAACGTTACTGGCATTATCACATTCCATGCAAGTATCCTCCAGCATTTAACTGCGCTTAGTAATAACAATGTCAGTATATAATGCACTAGATTCCATTCACCATTCAAGTTTTATTCCCAGCTCCAAGTGGCGTTCGCAAAACAAACGTCCTTTTTAGAGTCACTTCACCTACCCGTCCATTGTTTGTGAACTGAGGCATACTTCGAACACGATATATAGGAGACATTAAATGTAACCTGTTTTAGTGAGGGGCATGACTCAAGCCATAGAAACGCCATCTACTCTCGAAATAAAAGCGACAAGAACCATTACTATGATCCTAAATCCTAAAGGACGCCTGCTTGTGGTGAGAGGCGACCAGCGGGATCAGGTGGTCAGGCTCGCTGACTTGGCATGTCATGTACTCAAGTATAACAATGTTAATCTTGCAGAAAAAATTAAATGTGTTCTGAATAATTAGATGAGTATTATTGCTGTAAGCAAATCAAACCCAAATATAAAGCCTGGTATGCCAGTCCACGTGGCAATGTACAGGGCCATGTAAAATCGTGGACAATTAACATGAATAAATGATGTCAAAAAAATAAAATCATCGTATCCAAATTCGTGGATCAATGTCAATCACTGGATTGTCTGGTCCAGTCTCGCTTATTTACAGACCGCCGTCATATAGCTTAAATATGCGACATTAAACAACAAACAAACAAACGTGATGAGGCAGTTCGTAGATGTTTACCATTTAAATGAAACCAATGGTCAGTTGTAAAGACATCTCGACCAATGGTCATAAACGGAGCAAATCTGCGACTCCAACCCCCGACGAGGATTCTTATTAAAAAACTGACAAAACATTTCAATAGTCATAAGAAATATCTGCTTTATGCAGCGTTCATTCGACGAATCCGACCATATCATAAGCATGTGTTTATGAATCACTATCACAAGTAAATTGTTCACCTGTAAAATCGAGAACATATGTTACAAGGTAAAACAGGGAATTGCACCGGATATAATATTGGTAATGTATGCGTAAAATCTGGAAACCAAATGTCAACCATAAAACGTTTTGATAGCTTTATTGAAGTCTTGACTGCTGTAACCCTGATCACACAACTTTTGAGTCATATGACGCTCTTTGAAATCTTCGTAGCCGGAGAATGCTCGTTTGTATCTCGAAAATTGTTAAATTAAATTGTAAACCCGGGGACACGGGTGGCCCAGTCGTCTAAGGCGCCGCGATTCGCTGTGCAGAGTTGCGTCTCTTGGTCACGCCACAAACCTATGACTGTGGGTTCGAATCCTGGTTCGCCCCGATTACGTTTCCAGGTTTGTCAGATCCATACCCGTGCTCGTGGGTTTCACCGAAGTGGTAAACGTCTGAGACCTGCATCACTTGGGGCTTTCCTCCCACATTTAGCTGACACGCCGTGATGTGACTGGAATACTGTTAAAAGCGGCGTTAAACCCAACTCACTCACTCAATAATTGTAAACCCCAAAGTCTGGGTCTGTTTGAAAGTTGCTCAACATAAAAGGAAAGGTGAAGTCACCCCTCTTGTCATAGTCTGGAGGATAGTTTTTGTCACTCTAAATCTAAATATGAAACAATTGAGGCGCTTTCACTGGTTTTATTTCTAGTTTAGTTGGGTGCAAATCAGTGAAAGGCGATTGCCTATTTGACCATTATCAGAATATCGATATACCTGAAATTTAAATTAATATCGTTGGCTAAATTCCCATCATTTGATTTTGACAATCCGAGAGAAAAACTCGAATGTATAAAGAAACGGATCAGCAAGGAGGGAGGCAAAAGGTGCCAACTACGCCTATCATTTCAGTGGCGTTCTCGGAAAACGTTATTTATGGCGTCATGTGACCCTTCTATAATAACAGTCTTGAGGTCTCCTACCAATCCCAACCAGGTCTTGGGCAGTGAACGGATGTTGGTCTCTGGGGATATTGCGTAATGCTTCTGGATTCCTTTCTGCTGTCGCTGTAGCTTGAAATATAGCACTTAATCATGATTAACAGTGGTGTCAGAGGCGTCATTAAACGTGGCCAAAATCCAAAGAAATGCTGCATTCACTACCTATTGCATTCAATTAAATTTTAATTGGATCAGCAAGGTAAACTGAATGCTCTATACCCTCCGTATGACGTATTTTGAGGGGGTAACTTTAAGTAAACTTGAACTTCAGACAATCATTTCCGCGCTACGGAAATTACGGATTACGGAATAAATCAATCATGTAACTTACCATACCAATTAAAGTCGGAGTGATAAGGCATTGTTCCAGATCTCGAGTGAGTTATACCAATGTAATCTAGTTTGAAAATAAATTCGCTAATTCGTAAGGCAGTTTTACGCAAACTTCATTTTTCATATATTTTCGAAACTCATATTTCATCACAACATATACGTGTTGTCATTTAAAGAGCTATCTCCGTCGCTTGTGAACAGCCCGACAGAGACACACGAATGGCTGCTATTGATATCCGATATTTCAAAAAAAGAAAAAAGAGAGATGTGGACACAGCCTAACATTTGCTCAGGGCGATAGCCGAATCGCATACTGGTGCTATTTCTAGCCACCAGTTCCAGCAACTGCCAACTATTTTTCTTTTTGGTTATTGTTTGTCCCAAATGCTCGTGACTTGCGGCGGTCGATCTTATTTCTATACATACAATATCGTGGTGCTGATATGAATAAGAATATTGAGTGTGGGTGGGGTGTGTGGGTGAAGGGTGTAGGTGGAGGGTGTGTGCAGGCGGGTTGGGATTTTACTTCACGAATGTGTCTGACCAGATCAATTTCTGTCAAATGTGTCATTGTTTTCTTTGTAAATGTGCCTTAACTTTGATTGAAGATGATAATTTCGTGATATCCCCAAGCACACACGTGGTTGCATTAAAGTTTATTGTATGATAATACCAAGACAGGAACTTATTAAATATTGTTTCCTCAGTCAGAGAGTATACTTTTCCAATTCAATTGCTGCAACAGTTTGACTTTTACTTTTATCTTTAATTAATAGCCTTGTCTGAAGGAACATTCACAAACGTCTTTTGACATTAAATAAAAGCGACAATTCCTTTCCACGTCCATGAGAAATCACTGCTAAATGCAGTGTGGATTGTACGATCTCGACTCGACATACCGTGAGGGTGTGCATATGAATCGTCAAATAGTAATGAAACCAGGTGTTCGCGAAAAGGTGAGCGTATCCTGCCCCACCGGTGGCACCCGTTTCAAACACTTGCAAAAGCAAGTCAATTGTTCAAATTGTTGAAACAACACCATAACATATGGTACAAGTCAAAATAGGGATAATAGCTGTACAAATAAATTGCAGATGATTCCGTGCCATTATTTTGTAAAACGATAAAGTAAGGCCACGCCCACTAATGGAATAATATTTCCTGATTTGCTGATAAGAGAAAGGTCGATACTATCTTGAAATTTCAAGATACTAAGTTGAAATTTCAAGTTATTATTTTGAAATTTCAACTTAGTATCTTGAAATTGCAACTTATGAATGGTGAAATTTCAACTCATGTATCTTGAAATTTCAACTTAGCTTCTTGAAATTTCAACTTATTATCTTGAAATTTCAAGAACAAAATAAAAATAAAATGGCCCTAAAAGGCTTCCGTGCATCTGGGTCTTTGCAATACAACTTAAAAACACTACGACCAATAAATTATAAATACCTGGTATCCCTGGCAACCCCGGCACTCCTGGTTCTCCTGGGTCCCCCTTGGCTCCTGGTTTCCCTGACGGTCCTTTTGGACCCTTGATGGGGAGGCTGAGGGGTATAAGACGCTCCCCCTTGCAGGCGATCTCCAACTCGCACTGCCCGTCCACTTCGTTCTCCAGTGCGGCTGCGTCTTTCACGGGACCCCCTCTGTTCCGGTTCCGGTTTCTAGGGATTCGCTTACAGCTCGCGACACTGGATAGGACGATGATAATCAGAATGGCGGTGATCGGAGCCTTCATCCTTGAAACAGGAACACAGTCATGTATCATTCATTATAGCAGTGAGTGGGTATATATGGAATTTACGGAACTATGTTTTTATTTTGCGACTAACTGGAATGATTTCAAATTGTTTCTCGATTTGTTTTTTAACACTGCACTCAGCAATTTTCTAGCTGTAAGACGGTGGTCTTTAAATAATCGAGTCTGGACCAGACAGTCCAGTGATTGACATCATGAGCATCGAACTGTGAAATTTGGATACGATGACATGTATCAACCAATCAATGTGTTTGATATGGTGAGTAGGTTAATACAATGTAGTATACTTTGTATAGCAAGAAAATGTCACTATGTCGTGTGCATGTAACATTTGGCTTTATGACGTGTATTAGACCTTCAGCGTTAAATAAACTGACGGGATAATAAAGTAAGTGTATAAGAAAGTATACACTTGAAAATTGGATCAGACCAAAACAACATACAGGTTATCAAAACGTTACTAGGCTGAAAACAGTCGCCGAAACACTGCAAACTCAGAAAACACAACTATGATACCCGTATCAAGTACATCACCAACGACTAACAATTTCTTGTATGTTTCATAGTACATCACCAACGACTAACAATTTCTTGTATGTTTCATAGTACATCACCAACGACTAACAATTTCTTGTATGTTTCATAGTACATCACCAACGACTAACAATTTCTTGTATGTTTCATAGTACATCACCAACGACTAACAATTTCTTGTATGTTTCATAGTACATCACCAACGACTAACAATTTCTTGTATGTTTTATAGTACATCACCAACGACTAACAATTTCATGTATTTTTCATTTTTAACCACCATCTAACATGCGTGTATACGTTCTATTGCTAAGCAGTTTAGTATGTCGCTTGGCTTTCTCAGGACTGGTCTTCTTTAAACATTATCGGCGTTCATAAATTGAAATACGGTATACGATCTTACGTCGTAATAGCATGCAAATGGTTTTGTGCAGACATTCTAACACAATGAACGTGTGAGATAGGCAAGCACATGGGCCACCGCAGGGAGAAAGTCCATGTTTGTACAGACACTGATATTTGCAGCAAGCACTGGAAACATGCAGTGTCACGAACAAGTAGAATGTTTCCACTGCCCTCTGGGGAGGTCAAAAGGATGAATAATAGATCCTTCTCAAGAAATGAGTCCTCAGGAGCCTTCAGAGCGGCTACTTATAACTTTAAAAACATCCCTTGTATGGCATGCATATCACATGGCTGCACCATCGACTGAATACCATGAGGTTGTTTGTCATTGAGGAATTGCTAATTCATTCTACCAATCATTTATTTTCACGAAGGAGGTACAGCTATGTTATTTGCTCACCTATCAAGCGGTACAAGCCACACGTCGTACGTATTCTTGCCTACCGAGAGAAACATATATACGACTGAGGGCATGGTTTGTTTGTTTATTTGCTGTTTAACGCCACTCTCAGCAATATTCCAGCTATATCACGGCGGTCTGTAATTAATCGAGTCTGGACCAGACAATCCAGTGATTGACATCATGAGCATCGATCCACGCAATTGGGATTCGATAACATGCATCAACCAAGTCAGCGAGACTGACCACCTGATCCTGTTAGTCGCCTCTTACGGCAAGCCTAGTTGCCTCTTACGGCAAGCATGGGTTGCTGAAGACCTATTCTAACCCGGATCTTCACGGATCCTGAGCGCATCTGGTGTAGGGGCGGTCGGGTAGCCTAGTGGTTTAAAGCGTTCGCTCGTCACGCCGAAGACCCGGGTTCCATTCCCGACATGGGTACAATGTGTGAAGCCCATTTCTGGTGTCCCCCGCAGTGATATTGCTAGAATATTGCTAAAAGCGGCGTAAAACCATACTCACTCATTCACCGACCCTGCTGAAATTCAAATGGCGACACAGGTCAACATTTCGCATCAGATTGCAATTTCAATGTCTTCATGTTTGTAAATATGGTCGAAGGAAAACCATACGCACTCACTCACTCGCATGTGGTGAGTGGCGATCAATCAAACACGTTTGACAGTAGTCCAGTTGGTAAATCGTAACGTGGAAGGAAAGCTCAATACATAACGCTTTGCGGTGATATAACGGAAATATTGTTGGAATATAAAACGTCAACGCCAGAGAATAACCAGTCTCGATTATCCCTTCAGGCGTAAACGGCAAAATAGCAGTGACAATTATATGAATGGATCTCTGAAAATCTGTGATGACACCAGGGGTAAGCATGCCCTGCCTCACCGGTTTGAAATATAGGCTTATAAGTACAGAAACGTTAAAGAACTATACTCGTTTTGCAACACAGTGTGTGGAGCGGGGCTACGTTTTCTCCTGTCTTTGACAGGGCACTCGGATATAACATAATCATTACAGCAATCCGTTAGCAGCATCGTGGAAGAATTACATTAACAGAACTAATCATTTTAACAGCTGACTATATCAGATTTGACTATATTCCGAACTATTAACTGTTGTACCGCGCAAAATGCACCTTTCCACTTGCTTCCTCTTAACACTGCTACTAACATTGTACATAACTGTGCATTATTAAATATCGAGCGGGACCCGTGAAGATCCGGGGTAGAATAGGTCTTCAGCAACTCATGCTTGTCGTAAGAGGCGACTTACGGGATTGGGTGGTCAGGCTCGCTGCCTTATTGCTGGAATATTGCTGAGTGCGGCGTTAAACAACAAATAAACAAACAAATAATATCGAGCGGGCAGCCCAGCCTTGTAAATCTGTTATAGTCCACATGTACCGTAAATACATTAATCAGCTTAACAATACTAACGAACGGCATAAACAAAGAAACGACCATTTTGACTGTGAACATAAAGACCCCTCCACTTTGGACCGTGTCTCGCTAGGGCATTGGGTTCAGCGGCGATGATCAATTCGTTATCACTACTTACAATGAAATGTCGTTAACGTGAACACCACTTACCGCTTAAGACGATCTAATCTCGTTCTCCGGCAGAATCCATAATATTTTATTCATGATTATACATTTGACAACCTTCACGTCTACGCGACAAGTCAATCTGTTTTCAATGGACGCGTATGTTATCAGGTACAGTGAAAACCCTTTATCCGTACGGCCTCGTTTTCGGCCGAAATCGTCCGGATTGTATATTGACCGGACAAATGAAACTGTACATTGTACTTTTTTTACGGCACTGTACACAATGTTACATTGTTTAATCATATATAATTCACACATATACATTATCCACTGCCTACACCAACCACGGTGTCTAAGAACTACATCACTTGGGGCTTTCTTCCCACATCAGTCACGCGACCCCTGACGATCCGGGGTAGAATAGGTCTTCAGCAATCCATGCTTGCCGTAAAAGGCGACTATGCTTGTCTTAAGAGGCGACGAACGGGATCGGGTGGTCTGGCTCGGTGACCTGGTTGATGCATGTCATCGTATCCCAGAGATCCATGCTCTTGATGTCAATCACTGGATTGTCTGGTCCAGACTCGATTATTTACAGACTGCTGTCATATAACTGCACTATTGCTGAGTGTGGCGTTAAACAACAAACAAACAACAAACAGTCTGACACGCAGTAATGTAACTGAAACCTTGTTCAAACTGCCGTTAAACCAAGCTCAAGTATTGGCACGACGTTTGTTCTGAATTCTGGATAACTCGAACCATTTTGGTACTTACTTCGATTTATTGAATGAGTGAGTATGGTTTTACGTCGCTTTTAGCAATATCCCAGCAATATCACGGCGGGGGACACCAGAAATGGGCTTCACACATTGTACCCATGTCGGGAATCGAACCCGGGTCTTCGGCCTAACGAGCGATCGCTTTAACCACTAGGCTACCCGACCGCCCCTAGATTTATTGAGATTTCACTGTTTGTGATGCATATTTCAAAAGCAGTTACTGTCCGTCAAAGTATAAAAGTTAACACCGGGCGGTGACTATATTGAGAAAGGCTCGTAATTGTTAATAGATATTGTCGTATAATGACCAGTCTGATTGCTATTATTTTGATATCGGCAATAATGATGTTGATGGCAAGGACAACGGTACAGCTAACGAGCACTTTATGCCTTGCCTCTCTCCACCGTCTACTGGCGTCTCATTAATGCCGCCACTCCGACATTGACGACCTGCACTGCGGCTATATTTCACCTGTAATGATATCATGGGATCTGCCTGGAAACTGCCTTTATCTAATGAAGCGCACGTGACACGGACAGCACTGACAGATTGGGGACGTTTTCTATGTTTTCGAGGGCATTCGTTGTAGAAAACGGCTAACAGGAGGTGAAGTGAGGTGAAATGGCATCGCGTTCTTGATTACTGGACATATATATACGTGTGTGTGTGTGTGTGTGTGTGTGTGTGTGTGTGTGTGTGTGTGTGTGTGTGTGTGTGTGTGTGTGTGTGTGTGTGTGTGTGTGGCTGCTTGTACTAATCCGGACTAATGCTTTTAGAGTGCTAGCACACTGAGATACAATGCGGTAGTTTCCACACGAATACCCCTTTCAGACACAGTATACTGACACCGAACCAACCAGTCCTTGTTTCACCTCCTTCATGCCGAGCGCCAGGCAGGGAAACAACAAGTACCTCATTTTAAAGTCTTATTGTATGACGTGGCCGGGCATCGAACCATCACCCTTCCGCTCTCAGGGCGAACGATCTTTACACTAGACTCACATGGACTAGATGGACACAATAACTGGATAGGACAGCTGTGATCTAGCTCCTTGTACACTTACGACGTTGGAGGGTGCCATCTCCTTTTGGTACGCTGGACAAAACCATCCCCACAATCACAAAATATATCGGATCAAATCAGTGTCCGTTGTACAACTCGAGACTATATAATACTCACGTGTTCATGAATCACTAATCTAACACCAGGTGCTCGAGTGGTCGTACCCTTCCCCACCGCTGGCACCCGCCACAAACACATGCAAATGTTCAGGTGCAACACGGTGCAAACAC